GGTCTTTCACATTACTTTTTCGTTCTATTGCATGGTTAGAATTTGTCATATACCCTGATACAGTTTTAATTTCCTCAAGTTTTCTATATCCAAGTACAGTGGACCCTCAGTTAACACATTTAATCTGTTCCAGAGAGCTAGGCTTTAACCGATTTAGCTTTTAACCAAATTAATTTTCCCCATAAGAAATAATGGAAATCCAGTTAATCCATTCCAGACACCCAAAAGCATTAAAAAAATATTTTTTTTACATGAAATATACATTTCCCTACACAGAAAACAATGATACATGCACAGTAAACATTACTGAAATGACACCTTTATTGTGGAATTGTTGATGGGTGATGAGACGGTAGGAGGGCAGATGATACAGGTGTTCTATTGTTTGGAAGGGGAATCCCCTTCCATAAAAACTTCGGGTAACAAGTTCTTTTCTGGGGTTACCTCCCTTCTTTGTGTTTTAATGCCACTAGGACCAGCTTGAGAGTCACTGGACCCCTGTCATGCAAAATATCTGTCCAGAGAACTGTTTCTCACGTCCCTTTAAAATTTCCCTAAAATGGGCCACAAGAGTGTCATTGTACAAGTTGCCAATACAGCTTGCAACAGCTATGTCAGGATAATATTCATCCATAAATGCTTGCAACTTTGTAAACATTATACAGGTCTCCCTCAACATTCGCATTTTCAACTTTTACGGGCTTCACACATTCACGAATTCCCAGCCACCAAATCATATTTAAGTTTTCTGCCACCTGCGAGTCCCTACTACCCTCCCTCCGACCCCCACAACTGGCAGTCAGCCCTCCCACCACTCAGTGTGGTGAGTGTTTTGTTCATTGTTTATTATTAAACTACAGTATAAATAATGTCAACCCATTCATGGCTGAATATTGGAATGGCTATTCGGATAGGTATTGGACGGTGACATCATATGTTTACTCTTGAACACAGCAAAGAATCAAACATTTCTGCTACTGCTAATAATAATAATAATATTTTTATTTTATTATCACACTGGCCGATTCCCACCAAGGCAGGGTGGCCCGAAAAAGAAAAACTTTCACCATCATTCACTCCATCACTGTCTTGCCAGAAGGGTGCTTTACACTACAGTTTTTAAACTGCAACATTAACACCCCTCCTTCAGAGTGCAGGCACTGTACTTCCCATCTCCAGGATCAAGTCCGGCCTGCCGATTTCCCTGAATCCCTTCATAAATGTTACTTTGCTCACACTCCAACAGCACGTCAAGTATTTAAAAACCATTTGTCTCCATTCACTCCTATCAAACACGCCCACGCATGCCTGCTGGAAGTCCAAGCCCTCGCACAAAAACCTCTTTACCCCCTCCTCAACTTTCCTAGGCGGAACCCATTACCCGCGCTTCTTTCACTACAGACGAATACACTCTTGAATCATTCTGTTTCGCTTTTATTCTCTCTACAGGGTCCGAACCAACCTCAACAACCCTTCCTCAGCCCTCTGGACAACAGTTTTGGTAATCCCGTACCTCCTCTAACTTCCAAACTACGAATTCTTGCATTTATTCACACCACACATTGCCCTCAGACATTGGACATCTCACTGCCTCCAGCCTTCTCCAAGCTGCAACATTCTTTTACCCACGCTTCACACCCATATAAAGAGCGTTGGTAAAACTATACTCTCATACATTCCCCTCTTTGCCTCCAAGGAAAAAGTTCTTTGTCACAGACTCCTAAGTGCACATCACTCTGTTTCCTATCAGTTCTATGATTCACCTCTCTTTCATAGACCCTTCCGCTGACACGTCCACTCCCAAATATCTGTACGTTTCACTCCTCCATTACTCTCTCCCTCCATCTGAAAATCAATCTTCACACCTATTCTTTTTGTTATCCTCAAAACCTTACTCTTTTCTGTATTCACGTTTAATTTTCTTCTTTTGCACACCTACCAAATTCATCCACCAATCTTTTGCAACTTCTCTTCAGAATCTCCCAAGACACAGTTCATCAGCAAAGCAGCTGTGACAACTCCCACTTTTGTGTGTGATTCTTTATCTTTTACTCCACGACCCTCTTGCCAAGACCCCTCGATTTATTCTCTTACAACCCCATCTATAAATATATGTAAACCCACGGTGACATCACACATCATTGGGTTAACGGCCTATTTTACTGGGAAAAAATTTCCCTCTTTCCTACATACTCTAACTTGAGCCTCACTATCCTCGTAAAAACAAAACAAAAATACGAGGATTGAAGCAGTGGTGGAAGAAGTGGTTGAGGCATCGTCAGTCAGTGTGGCTTTGTTTATGCTGGAGTGAGCATTAGTCTCCGTGCTCTTCCAAACATTTCACAATAATTCATTGTGTTTGGTGCTTGTAGATTGAGTGCGACTGGAGTGGTTGAGGCAGTGATATTTAATAAGATGTATGTTGAGGCATCGTCAGTCAGTGTGGCTTTATTTGTGCTGGAGTGAGCATTAGTCTCCACGCTCTTCCAAACATTTCACAATAATTCATTGTGTTTGGTGCTTGTAGATTGAGTGTGACTGCCACGTAATTAACCATGGGCCCAAAGAAACTTGCTAATGCCAGCCCTTTGGTAAAGAAATTGAGAAACATGATAGAATTGAAGAAAGAAATTGTACCAAAATACGAGCAGTGCGCCGCAGTGGTTGAGGCACTGGTGGTATTTAGTACAATATTTTATGCCGTTTTCATGTATTTTATGATTGTTCATGGTTCAACAAGTTAAGGAAGCAGTATTGTATTATATTTCCCTACAATATATTGGGGCACCAAACATTCGTGATTTTTCAACATTCGCGAGACTCTTGATCCCCTACCCTCACAATTGATGAGGGAGACCTGTACATATTTCCTTATCTTTGATGAAGGCAACTTCCTCCATCTCTCTTCCTCCTCCTTTGAAGGAACTCCCTGAGCTTTGGTCTGTTGCTGTTGCACCTGAAGCTCTTGCAGCTATGTAGTGGTTAGTTCTTCATCATCGTCCTCCACTAACACTTCCACATCCTCACCACTAACCTCCAACCCCATGGACTTACCCGAAGACACAATAGATTCCACAACCAGCATATGCTCCTTAGGGTCAGCCCCAAACCCTTCAAAATCCTTCTCTTATACACATTGTGGCCACAATTTTCTCCAAGCAGAGTTCAAAGTCCTGCAAGTCACTCCCTCCCAAGCCTTACCTATAAGGTTTATGCAATTGAGGATACTGAAGTAATCTTTCCAGAACTCTCTTAGGGTCAGTTCAGTGTCTAAGGTCACTTCAAAGCACTTTTGAAACTGCTTTGGTGTTCAGTTTTTTGAAATTTGAAATGACCTGCTGGTCCATGGGCTGGAGGAGAGGAGTGGTATTAGGAGGCAAGAACTTCACTTTGACGAAGCTCAACTCCCCCACAATTTGCTCTTGCAAGTCGTGAGGATGAGCAGGAGCATTGTCCATTACCAGGAGGCACTTGAGTTCCAATTTATTTTCCAGGAGGTACTGTTTCACAGTGGGGCCAAACATGTCATAGAACCAGTCAATAAACATGTCTCTAGTGACCCATGCCTTACTGTTTGCTCTCCATATCACACACAATTTAGTCTTGATGATATTGTTTTTCTTGAACACACTAGGAGTTTCAGAGTGATACACGAGTAAAGGCTTCACTTTGCAATCCCCACTAGTATTACTACACAACATTATAGTTAGCCTGTCTTTCATAGGCTTATGTCCTGGGAGTGCCTTTTCCTCCTGAGGAATGTAGGTCCTGTTTGGCATTTTCTTCCAAAACAGGCCTGTTTTGTCACAATTAAACACTTGTTGGGGTTTTAATTTTTCAGTGTCTGTATTCCTTAAAGTCCTGCACATATTTTTCAGCCATTTTTGTGTCTGAACTGGCAGCCTCATCATGCCTTATCAAACTGTGTACGCCACTATGACTCTTAAATCTCTCAAACCAGCCTTTGCTGGCCTTAAATTCATCAACAGCAGCACTATTTGGAGTTATTTTCTTAATGAGGCCCTCATGCAACTGCCTTGACTTTTCACATATTATTGACTGAGAAATACTTTCTCCTGATAATTGTTTCTCGTTTATCCACACCAACAACAGTCTCTCCACATCTTTCGAGTATTTGTGATCTCTGTTTTGTAAGCACACTTCCACCTTTTGCAACAACAGCTTCCTTCATTGCCTTTTTGTTGTGCAAGATTGTAGTGATGGTTGAATGGGGTTTGTTGTATAACTTTTCCAACTCTGAGATACACAGTCCACTCTCTTATTTTCTATTATGTCCTTTCTTAATTCGATAGTACACCTCACCCTTTTTATCACAGGCTTGGCACTAGAAGCTTTCTTTGGACCTATGGTGGCTTATTTAGCAATTACAAGCACTAAAAAAATGGAATAATACAAAATATATCACATGTATGCATGTAACCGTCCTCAGTGGCTTGTAAACAATGGTACACTGTCTGGTACACAGGATGAGTGGCCGTGCGGACACATTCGGGACGAAAGCTCCTAACCAAGTTTTTAGGTGTTATCCGAGCCAATTTCTTTTACGCCAAAGCGAGGTGTTATCCAATTTTGGCTTTATCCAATGCAGGTGTTAATTGAGGGTCCACTGTAGATGAAATTTCTCTTCATTGAACTCCATATTGTTTTGAGTGGCCTTACATCTTAGGGATAGAATTGTCGTTAAGTAAGGAGAGGCTGTACTCTGTAAATACTATCACTACTACTGCAGTATTAGTCCTACAGGAGAGGTGTTACTGATTACTTTTTTTTTTTTTTTTTTTTTTAAATACTCTGGCTGTCTCCCACCAAGGCAGGGTGACCCAAAAAAGAAACGTTTTCACCATCGTTGTTTTGCTAGAGACACACATACGACAGTTCCTTGATAATGTGAGAAATCACGAAAGTGCTTGGAATTCCACTATTTTTTCACAGTGGTTGTTCTGCATACTCACATTTATATGGTATATAAATTTCACATATATTTCAGTGGTGTCAACTTAAGCAGCGTAAGGAAAACCTCAGAGCAAGGTTCCAGATGATGGGAGAATTTCAGGGTGACCTTATCATGAAGGACCTTGACGCACCACTGCCAGAAAATATGCGCATGCTCAAAGAAGAAGACATTGAAAGGTGAGATGGCAAATTCAAAATCTAGATGATAGATTATAAAGAAATAGATGACAGTTGATAATGCATTTAGAAAGTCTATGGTTATGCAGAGCATTTCATGCAAACTTAAGCCAATCTTAAGATTACAAGGTCAATAAATATTTTATTTTCATATAGTCGGACTTGAGTCCTGGAAATGGGAAGTACAATGCCTGCACTTTAAAGGAGGGGTTTGGGATACGGCAGTTTGGAGGGACATGTTGTGTATCTTTATATGTGTATGCTTCTAAACTGTTGTATTCTGAGCACCTCTGCAAAAACAGTGATAATGTGTGAGTGTGGTGAAAGTGTTGAATGATGATGAAAGTATTTTCTTTTTGGGGATTTTCTTTCTTTTTTGGGTCACCCTGCCTCGGTGGGAGACGGCCGACTTGTTGAAAAAAAAAAAAAGTGTGTGTGTGTTTCAAAAAGATGGATCCGATTTGAAATTGCTATATCTCTGCAACCGCAAACTGCGCAAGAATGAAAGTCTTACCACTTGAAAGGGCAGGGCATAGTTTCAAATGACCTCCCACTAGATGTCTCTCCCAACGCACCAACAGCCTCTAGTCTGTTGTTTGCAAGGTTGGTGAACTTTATTGGGTATAACCCCAAAACAGGTTAGGTAATGTTTGTCAGGAAACAGGACAAGCGTTTCCTGACGCGGGTCTTAAGTCATGTGATGACCTGCCGTTGGAACTTCTGATCATTTGACCAAAGCCTTCCGCTGGCTTACCAGTATTATTATAATCAAGGGGGAGTGCTAAACCCTTAGGCATTATATAGCACCTGTGGGAGGGGGGATGGAAGGTATTTGGTCTCAATTCAGTTTACTGGCACACAGCTCCAATTCCTTTGATCAAGAACTCCCTCACCAGCATCAAGGTACCTCCCTAGAGGGGACAGATTTGTGTAGAGGGAAATTCCCCACTAGACTTGAACCTCCACAGAATCGAGAAAATACATACAAGGAAACGTTCAGATTCAAAATAGTCTATTAAATCCATTTGTATGGAAAAGACAGTCATACAGACTGAAAACTATTATATGCCATAAAGCAAATTTAAAAATAAAACAATACTAGCAAAATAATGAAAGGAAAAATACTGTATGAAATAAAAAAAAAGAGAAAGTTAATAAAAATCTCGCTAGGGAACTTAAGAATTTTATTGAAATAATTTTTTTGGTTCAGATTTTGGAGAAATTCTTTCTTTCTTTCAACACACCGGCCGTATCCCACCAAGGCAGGGTGGCCCAAAAAGAAAAACGAAAGTTTCTCTTAAATTTAGTAATTTATACGGGAGAAGGAGTTACTAGCTCCTTGCTCCCAGCATTTTAATCACCTCTTACAACACGCATGGCTTACGGAGGAAGAATTCTGTTCCACTTCCCCATGGAGATAAGAGGAAATAAACAAGAACAAGAACTAGAAAGAAAATCGAAGAAAACCCAGAGGGGTATGTATATATACGCTTGTACATGTATGTGTAGTGTGACCTGAGTGTAAGTAGAAGTAGCAAGACGTACCTGAAATTTTGCATGTTCATGAGACAGAAAAAAGGACACCAGCAATCCTACCATCATGTAAAACAATTACAGGCTTTCGTGTTACACTCACTTGGCAGGACGGTAGTACCTCCCTGGGCGGTTGCTGTCTACCAACCTACTACCTAAGTGTATCAAAAATATATCATTATTTCTCCAAAATCCTAGGGAGGTACTACCGTCCTTCCAAGTGAGTGTACAACGAAAACCTGTAATTGTTTTACATGATGGTAGGATTGCTGGTGTCTTTTGTCTGTCTCATAAACATGCAAGATTTCAGGTACTTCTTGCTACTTCTACTTACACTTAGGTCACACTACACATACATGTACAAGCATATATATACACACCCCTCTGGGTTTTCTTCTATTTTCTTTCTAGTTCTTGTTCTTGTTTATTTCCTCTTATCTCCATGGGGAAGTGGAACAGAATTCTTCCTCCGTAAGCCATGCGTGTTGTAAGAGGCGACTAAAATGCCGGGAGCAAGGGGCTAGTAACCCCTTCGCCTGTATATATTACTAAATTTGAAAGGAGAAACTTTGGTTTTTTCTTTTGGGCCACCCTGCCTCGGTGGGATACGGCCGGTGTGTTGAAAGAAAGAAGAATTTTTGATACAACATCAAAATTAGGGCTTTTTGATAATTCACCTCATTTATTAAATAAATTTTTGTGCAGTTTTATTTATGTTTATTGAGATTTCATTTACCCCATTTGGAGTAATTTACCCCATTTGGAATAATTTACCCCATTTAGGATAAGCCCAGTTGTCTGACCACTGTCTTCGATGGTATGCATGTCAGTAACACTGACCTGCAGTTTTAATGACAGTAAACATAATGTTTCAGAATTGAAGAGATCGAGACTTCGGAACAGTTCAACGATTACTACAAGTTCTTCCTCTTATATTATGGTAAAGATCAGCCAGCCATGCGTGATCACATGAAGACCAAGCGGAGGGAGCAGCGGACCACCACAAAAGTCACTAGGGTTGTTAAGGTGAGTCTAGAAGCAAGGCTTCCCTTGATAACTTGCACAACCCACATAGGAATTGATCCATTCTTCATCATTGTCTAGTACACAAACAACCCACTGTTAGGACTTGATCATTGTCTAGTACACAAACAACCCACTGTTAGGACTTGATCATTGTCTAGTACACAAACAACCCACTGTTAGGACTTGATCATTGTCTAGTACACAAACAACCCACTGTTAGGACTTGATCATTGTCTAGCACACAAACAACCCACTGTTAGGACTTGATCATTGTCTAGTACACAAACAACCCACTGTAGATTATTCATCTACTTATTACAAGTCCTTAATTTTGAAGGGTAACTAAATTAAGTTTTGGTTGAGGTACCTTGATGTCATTAAGGAGCTCATGATTCAAGGAAATATACCTATCCTCCCTTTCCTTGGATCATTTCCCTAGGGTTTAGCACTCTACAGATTAATAGCACGTAAAATATATTTTTGTTTTTGCAGTTTGTATCGAATTTTTATTAATGGGATTTTATTCCATAGGTTATGCGAAAGGTAATGAGGAAAAAGAAGAAGAAGAAGAAACACTTGATAATTGAAGATGATGAAGATGAGGAGGAAGAGACAAATAATGTAGATGGACAAGATAAAGATGGTGAATCTGCAATGGAAGTTGACAGTAACACAGAGAAGACGCAAAGCGAAGAAAAAGGTGCCAGTGATTTGGATAAGGATGTCAGTGACACTGAGAAAGATGATGCCAATAAAGATGGCAGTAAAGCAGCTGAGAAAACAGCCAATGATGAGGATAGCGATGGTAACGAAGATAACATGGATCGTAATGATGATGATAGCGACGACAGCGCTGGGAAAACGGCAAGCAATGATGCCGATAAAGCAGCAAATATCGAAGCTAAAAAGGCTGGAAATAAAGAAGGTGGTGAGGTAGAGAGTGATAAAGTTGATGAAGGCACTGATGGTGAGGTAGTTAGTAGTAAAGATGGTGAGGAGGAAGGTGAAGATGGTGATAAAGATAGTGATGATAGGGAGACAAGTGTCACTGCTGGAGGAGAGAAGAACGATGATGCTGATGCTGCTACTCTGAACGAGGACAACCAGAGACCAATGGAAGTGGACACGGAGAATGACAATGCCAATGCTAATAAAGACAAGGATAAACCTTCAGACAGTGATGATGATGATGATGAGGAAGAGGAAGTGGAGACAGAGGTGGAAACGGAAATTGAAGAGGAGGTGGAGGAAGAAAATCAAGAACCAGAGGAAGACTCTGAGGCTTTGAAAAAGGCTGTTCGAAGGCACGAGTATGAACTTCTACGAAAGGCCGGCATTGGTGAGTATTAAGTTTCCTTCTGTACGATTGTGGATTAAATTGTAATAAACAACTGTCAGTAATGTGCAAATGTTGTGAACAATTGATACAAGACACAAAACAACCATGGGGGAGTTGAATGATAGCTCTAGGCCTTTCATGTTGCAATCAAGACATGAGAAGCTTGCAGTATTGCAGAGAAGAGGTGGTGGTCCAACCAGATATGATCACCGGAAGCGCCTTTGCAAAGGCGCTCCTTGTGATCTATCTGTTTGGACCACCACCACCTCTTTTTGGCAATGTTTGAAGCTCATGATGATGTGTTGATCGCAACAGAAGGCCTAGAACTATCATTCAACTCACTCCGTGGTTGTTTTGAAACTGTCAATAAATAGAAGGGTGGCTGAGAAACTGCTCATCCACCCTTCTGTATGAACTCAGATTTAATTATAATAGACACATGTCAGTGAATAAACAGAAGGATGGTCAAGAGGCTCGACCACAGTTCGACTCTCTCATCCACTCTTCTGTATGTTTAAATTGTTACTGATTGCTGATAATTACCAAATCTTTTACCCAGAATATCACCAGGCATTTTTTGTAGTGTTTACTTACTGTCTAATGTTGGATTTTCATAGCTGCCTCTTAAGTGTGGTTAACTGTGTTGAATATGAGGAACACTGCAGCAGGCCTACTGGCCCATACAAAAATATTTGCCCAACTCATTTTCAGTGCTACCCAAAGAATAAGCTTTGATACCACTATTAACTTATGTGCAAACAGTGATATACTGTTGGTGTATTGCCTGTAGTTGTGTGTATGTGCTGGGAGTGAGAGGAGGTAAGTGGTTTTGGAACTTGACAAGCTGTTGGAGTGTGAGCAGGGTAATATTTTGTGAAGGGATTCGGGGAAACTGATTAGCCGGACTTGAGTCCTGGATTTAGAAAGTACAGTGCCTGCATTCTGAAGGAAGGGTGGGGGACAGTTACTATTTAGTGACATCTAAACTGTCATATCTGCATGCTTCTGGCAAGACAGTGATAATTTGAATGATGGTGTGTTTTCTTTTCAGATTACCCTGCATTGGTGGGAGATGGCCAGTGTGATTTAGAAAAAAAAGCAGAGTATAATTTTAATGTATCAAAAAGGAGACTAATTATTTATTCATTTACTGTCTTCCCAGAAGTGTGTTGACATAGTTCAGTTGGTCCTCCAAACTGGATTCACTCCTTCAGGGGTGCCATCACTGTATGTCTCACCTCCAGGACTCTAGTCTGGCTAACCAGTTTCCCTGAATCCCTTTATAAATGTTACTTTGCTCTCACACAAGAAAATGTCAAATCATCATAACCTTCTGTCTCCTCTGTGCTTGTTACTTCTGTATTGTTGCAGTCATGGTATTGTGACTTTGTTCTTTGTTACAGTCACTTGCCTCCACTCCTATCTAGCCCTCACAAAAGCCTATTGGATATCCAGGCCTCTATCATTCAAAAACCTTCCTTACCCCCTCCAGTCTTCAAGCTGGCACTGGACAAGCACCTAAAGTCAGTTCCTGATCAGCCGGGTGTTTGCTCGTACGTTTTGGTATTGCGTGCAGCCAGCAGCAAAAAAGGCCTGGTTGATTAGGGCGTGATCCACCAGGAGAGCCTGGTCACAGGGCCGGGCCGCGGGGCGTTGACCCCGAAACTCTCTCCAAGTAAACATCGGGTAATACGTTCCTGGGGGACAACCCCTCCCCCTCCTTCCCTCGTGTAATAATTTTATCTACATCATATTTTATTGAACTTCCAGAGTCGCTGACAAAGAAATTTGGTCTGAGTCCAGAGCAGTTTGGGGAAAACCTCCGTGATAACTACCAGCGATTTGATGTTGAGCAGTGTCCAGAGGACCCCATGAAGGATCTGAGGAGCCCCCTCTCCAAGTAAGCAATGTGGTGGTGTTATACAGTGCAGGAGGGCCCCACATATACAGGAGGGCCCTGCTTATACAGCAGGTTAAGTTCTGCACAAGTGCTGTAAAGTTAAACATATAAAAGCCTGATAGCATGTTTACACTATCATATATTGAGTGAGTAATAGAGCTAGGCCTAAAATATGCCTGTACAGTACACACATTCAGTGGACCCCGCTAACATTACCTCCGAATGCGACCAATTATGTAAGTGTATTTATGTAAGTGCGTTTGTACGTGTATGTTTGGGGGTCTGAAATGGACTAATCTACTTCACAATATTTCTTATGGGAACAAATTCGGTCAGTACTGGCACCTGAACATACTTCTGGAGTGAAAAAATATCGTTAACCGGGGGTCCACTGTACTTACCTTAAAATATTTTCGTACTTTGTTTACATTGAGCGATGAATGTATTTATTGTATGAAGTTGGAATAAATGAAGAAAAGCTACATTTGAAAACTTCTGCATTAGCAAAATACTGTAGAGTGAATCTCTCCTGTACAGCACCTCTTTTCAGTGTTCCACCATTTTCGTTGATTCAATTGAGTCTTGTTCCACCTTACTGGTGAAACTTCGCTGCGGGTGGAAAACGACAACGGGTCAATTTAAAGCCAGCAGAAAAATGAAACAGAAAAAGGATGTGTAAAATGCAGGGCCCTGCTGTACTTGATGCACTCCAGTATACTGTATTTTCCATGACATTTTAAATGCAGTGTGTGCTGCTTGCTGGCACGATGTTTGCAAGTAGTTGTAATGTAATGTAGTAAATAAATGCGAAATGTAACACAGTCTACCTTGAGATGCCTTGGAGCTTTAAGACAAGGCTGATTTTCCAAGACTTTTTTATGGGGGGGAAAAGTGTAAATTTTATGCCAGAAAATATGGTAGGTGGATAGGAAGTGTCAGTAGAGATATCAGGAATAGACGGATAGAAAATATCAGTAGAAATATTAGGAATAGATAGGAAATAGTAGTAGAGATATTAGCAATAGATGGATAGGAAATAGTAGTAGAGATATTAGCAATAGATGGATAGGAAATAGTAGTAGAGATATTAGCAATAGATGGATAGGAAATAGTAGTAGAGATATTAGCAATAGATGGATAGGAAATAGTAGTAGAGATATTAGCAATAGATGGATAGGAAATAGTAGTAGAGATATTAGCAATAGATGGATAGGAAATAGTAGTAGAGATATTAGCAATAGATGGATAGGAAATAGCATTTGGGAGAGAAGGCATGAACACTTTTATTTCTTGAACTTTCCTAAAAACACTAACTGAACAAAATAACTGCACTCTAGACTTTTAACTCCAACTTCAACACCTTTTTTTAATACACCGCCATCACTCACTAGGTAGGTGAAAAGCAGCTGACATTATAAGGTAGATGACCATTGGTCCAGTGTGGGTAGATTGGTAAAGCACTGCATATCTTGTTCCAAGGTTCGTAGGTTCGAGTCTCCTTCAGCCAGAGATCAGATCTGAACTGCACCATCCTCGACTCTTTAGTGCCTGCAGTTGTACTTCCAACTTCAGGACTGATCTTGAGGTGTTTATCTACTTCTGATGCAATAAGACGATGCAGTGGGCGAAGGAATGTAGAAGATTATATAAGAAATCTGGTACAATGCAGCCTTGGTCTTTGAACTCACCAGAGTCTGTACAGTTTTGTTCAGAAAAATTGAGCTGGTCTTTGAAGGTTTTTCTGGAGTGTGAACATGCTGGCTTGCTTACAATTCACTTGTAAGAAAACTTTACAGGAAAGCCTTGTTTCAAAAGTGCTTTGAAGTGACCTCTGGCACTGACCTAACTCTCAGAGACTTTTCTGTTAGAAGAGTCGGTTCAACATCCTCCAGTGTGTGAGGCTCATAATTAAAGCCTGGCAAATACTCTTTCCCACATTAAGTTCAAACACCATCTAGGAACCAGTTGAAATACCCAGGTTCCAATGTATTTTTAAGTTCATTCTCCAAATCAATGCAGTCTTGTTCTCAAGGGGTTTGACTTAACCGAAGTCCTCTGCTCTGACTCTTAGCACAGGGCTGTATTTAACTTCTAATTCTCCTACTTGTTAAATGATCCTGTTACAAGTCCAAATTTCTTTACCAGTAGAAACAATGGAAACATAAACTCATATGCAGTTTAATGTGATCCTTTATTGACAACGTTTTGCCCACACAGTGGGCTTTTTCAAGTCACACACAGATCTGTGTGTGACTTGAAAAAGCCCACTGTGTGGGCAAAACGTTGTCAATAAAGGATCACATTAAACTGCATATGTGTTTGTTTCCATTGTGTTGGTATTTTATACCATTTATTTTCACCAGTAGAAACAGTTGTGTTTCTCCAAACAGGTTGTCTTATATCTCACACAATCATTGGTTATATTTCCTAACTTTTTTTTTCAACACTGGCTATATCCCACAGAGGCAGGTTGACCTGAAAAGAAAAACAAAAGTTTTTATTTTTAAATTTAGTAATTTATACAGGAGGTGTTACTAACCCCTTGTTCTTATTATGTGAAAAAAACTACAGCGAACAAATAGTGAAATTCCAAGTGGTGTCATGATTTCTAGGAATATTGATTCCTAATGTGTTTGTGCATGCTAAGTTGAACACCACACAAGTGAGCCTATTTCTGTTGTCTCAAGATTTTTTTAATATCCTAGGAAGGCCTAAAGGATGTACCACATTGCATCAGTTCTATAAGTAATCTGAACACCTCATAAACTCCTAGCCCAGTAGGATACAATACTATATATGCTCAAGGTCAGGGTCAAGGATAGCATTTGTGTTACGCTTTAGTAGTTGTTTACTAACATTATGTTTAAACTGCTTTGAAACATCATCTTATATGCTCGTGCCCCAAATATGACTGGAAATACGATATAAAAAGTGACCACAAATGTATAAGAGTAAAACTCTGCTATTATCTCTTCCCCACTTACCACTTTATAAGTACAGCCTCTCCTCACTTAGCAACGTACTCGTTTACCAACCATTTGGAGATATCTGCTGTTTTAAACTGTAGTGTTGACATGTCTCTGGCAAAGCAGTGATGGAGTGAGTGATTGTGAAAGTGTTTCTTCTTTTTTTGGGTCACCCTACCTTGGTGAGAAACAGCCAGTGTGTTAAAAAAATATTTAAATGCATGGAAAAGCATTGGCTGCATAGTAAAAACATTTTATAACTTTATTTCAAAATTAAATATGATTAAAATAAATTTTTAAATGGTGTTCACTTATGTGAAATAATGAGTATTGCATTTTCAGAATGTGCAGCACTCCAGAGCGTGTTCTTGAAGCAGCTGTGAGAATGGTCGGCTGGCAGTTGAGTTGTGAACCGATTGGTACGACGCACAGTCAGAGAGGCCTACTTTGAACGTGCCAGGATCAGTTGCAGGCCGACCCCACAAGGGGTGAAAATAATTGACGAACATCATTCGCTATATTCGCTGAAATACCTTAAGGATAAACCAGTCACAGACCTGCAGGGTGACCAGTTTCTTCGTCTTAAATGTGGTGTTGAAGACAAACTTATGACAATTAGCTTGTCAGATACCATTGAAGGGAACACAACCATAAGTTACCTCGATGAAATGAAACAACTGTATTATCGGGATGAATTTTCCCAAGTTGTTCAAGACTGGAATGATCTGAGGGGTCGGGCAGTTACCTTTGCCTTCAAACGAATTATAGAGGATCTTAAACGAGAGCTGTCTCAGCGTCTACTTCAGGAAGCTAAGGATCATGTACTAGAGCAGTGCTGTAGTAAGCTTTATAACTGGATTAAAATTGCACCCTATAATCCTGGGGATTTCTCCGATGAAGATGAGGATGACTGGGACACTGGAAAAGGATTTAGAGTATTTGCTATTTCTTTTGTTCCTGATCTTTCCCAGGCAGCATTTGGTTGCTGCATAGACATTGACGGTGACTGTTGTGAGTATATTCGTCTGCCGCATTTACTCAAACGCCGTAACGCTTACAATGAGAGAGATGCGATGGCTAAAGAGAGTGACATTCGGCGCATGCAGGATTTTATTATTCGCCGCAAGCCGCACGTTATTGCCGTAGGTGGACAGTCTCGGGAAGCTCAGATGGTCAAGGAAGACCTGATCCAAATCCTCAAAGATCTGGAAGAACAAGAACAATTTCCCAAAATAAATGTTGAAATAATTGATACCGACCTTGCTAACATTTACGCGGTGTCGAAGAAGGGAGAAGCAGACTTCCTAGACTACCCTCTACTCCTACGACAGGCTGTCTCCATTGGCCGACGAGTTCAGGACCCACTGATTGAATTCTCACAGCTGTGTAATACTGACGAGGAAATACTTAACCTAAAATTCCACAGTTTACAGGATCAGCTAAACCCTACCGAACTTCTTGACTCTCTCTACACCGAATTTGTCAACCGCACAAATGAGGTCGGAGTTGACCTAAATCGTGCTGTAGCATACCCTTATACTCAGAACTTAGTCCAGTTTGTTTGTGGTCTAGGACCACGAAAGGCCAACCTTCTTATAAAGAATATGAAGCAAAATAATCAACGTCTAGAGAACAGAAACCAGTTAGTTGTTAACTTCCACATGGGTCCAAAGGTGTTCATTAACTGTGCCGGATTTATAAAGATTGACACCAATGCTTTGGGTGACAGCGACAATTATATAGAAGTTCTAGACTCAACGAGAATTCATCCGGAAGCTTACGATTGGGCTAGAAAAATGGCCGTCGATGCGCTGGAATATGAGGACGAAGAGGGTAAACCTGCAGAGGCTCTGGAAGAAATTCTAGAAACCCCAGAGAGACTTAGTGAGCTTGATCTTGAAGCTTTTGCTACTGAGCTGCAAAATCAGGGCTTCGGTAAGAAGAACACAACTTTGTATGACATTAGACACGAACTGAATCATAGATACAGAGATTTCAGGTTGCCTTTCAGGTCTCCTACAGCTGAAGAGGTGTTCAACATTCTAACCAAGGAATCACCAGAGACATTTTACGTTGGTAAGCTTGTACAGGTTTCCGTTACTAACTTCATCCACCGTAAACCCCGAGGCGATCAGCTGGATAATGCCAATCCCGTCAGAAATGAAGACACTGGTCTTTGGCAGTGTCCGTTTTGTCTCAAGAACGATTTTCCTGAGCTCAGTGAAGTGTGGAATCACTTTGATGCTGGAGATTGTCCTGGTCAAGCCATTGGAATAAGAGTGCGATTAGACAATGGCATATCGGGTTTTATTAGCATCAAGAACTTGTCAGATAAAACAGTGACAAATCCAGCAGAGAGGGTGAGACGAGATGGTCTCGTTCTTTGCCGTATCATGAAAATCGATCCAGAGAAGTTTTCTGTTGAGCTCACCTCCAGAACGTCAGACCTACAGGACAGAGATAACAAATGGAAGATTCCGAAAGATCCATATTATGACCATGAGGCTGAAGAGAAAGATTTGAATATTGATAAGAAGAAGAAGGATAAAAAGAAGACACAGTATCAGAAGCGAGTAATTGCTCATCCTTCCTTTAGAAATATTGACTACAATGAAGCTGAAAAGGTGATGCAACAACTGGAGCAAGGGGAAGTTATCATCCGACCTTCAAGTAAAGGTATTAATCATCTCACAGCCACCTGGAAGGTCACTGATGGAATCTGCCAACATATCGATATATTGGAACAAGACAAACAAAATGACTTCTCTCTCGGTCAAAAGCTGTGGATTGGGAATGAAGAATTTGAAGATTTAGATGAAATTATCGCTAGATATGTATCGCCTATGGCCATGAATGTAAGACAGATTCTTGAATATAAATACTATAAAGAATCCATAATGGGCAACAAGGAAAAAGCAGCAGAGTTTCTGAAGGAAGAGAAAAAGAAGAATCCAAAGACAATTCCATATATATTTTCTCCTAGGAAGGATTTGCCAGGTAAGTTCCTCTTATCATATTTACCAAGAGTTAAAGTGATCCATGAATTTGTAACTGTCACTCCTGAAGGTTTTAAGTTTAGGCAGAGAATGCAATATCCAAACCTAGCTGGACTTCTCAAATGGTTTAAGCAGAATTTCCGAAGGGCATTGCCAGGGGCAACGCCGGGGATGATGTCAACACGCACACCGTACATGGGTGGTACAACACCTAATCTTATGGGTGTCGATGCCTCAACAATCCAGAAAGTGGCTCAGAACTTGAATCCACATATGCTTCATAATCTGTCTCAGGCTGCTACTAATACTCCTTATAGTGCCAATACACCTGGAGCTTTCTCTCAGAGCTACTCAAATTATGCTAATACTCCTTATACACCTTCAGGTCAGACACCCTTTATGACTCCTTATGCTACTCCTGGCCCATCCAACACTCCTCGCTACAGCGGTTCTCAGACGCCTTTATATGGTAGCAGTGGTAATCGAACTCCATCACATCGTCCCACTACTGGACTTTTACCCCAGCCATCTCGTTCTGGCCCTTCAGTTAGTACTCGTTCAGAACAGATGGACTGGAAAATGGCAGCCGCTGCTTGGGTGCAAGCCAAGGGTGGAAGTAGCGGACACGACAGTGGACGAATGACACCACGACACCATGACAGTGGCCGAATGACGCCACGATACTCCGATTCCCGAGACACTAGATACCCCTCTAGTCCTAGATACCCCGATGATGCATCTCGCCGCACCCCACGATACGACGATCGCACACCTCGCCCATACCACGATTATGACAACCCCCGTGCTACCCCTCGCTCAGCTCGGTCAACGCCTAAAACTATCCACTCTCCTGCTAACATGAGCATAGGAGGAGACCAAACCCCGCTCTACGATGAATAGTCTTACAAGTAAATTTATTAAGAAAATGTTTTGCCAACCAGTGGCTTCTTCAGTCTGATACAGAGAAGAACGGTGGACTGATGGAGCTGCTTCAGTCTGATACAGAGAAGAACAGTGGACTGATGGAGCTTCCTCAGTTTGATACAGAGAACAGTGGACTGATGGAGCTTCTTCAGTCTGATACAGAAAAGAGCGGTGGACTGACGGAGCTTCTTCAGTGGGATACAGAGAAGAACGGTGGCTTGAAGAAGCCACTGGCTGCTACGATGAATAGTGTTACAGGTGAATTCATTTGTTACAAACGGGCCTGTAACTTCATTTTTTTTCTTTATAGTTTGTACAGGGCAAGATTTGAAACTATTTAAGGTTTAGAGTTTAGTACGTATTGTAATTTAAAGTATGATTCACATTTGTATGGGATTTATACAATGACAGTCTTGTTAATGTGTAAAAAGGTATGTATTGTCTGTAATTTCATTCATTATATTTTTTTTATTGCATGTGAACATCGTACACTTCATATTTTTTATAACAATTGTATTTGAGATATGTGAAGTTATCCCATATAGGCAAGATGCATTGCTACTCCCTGTTAGGTCTTGTTTAGCATTATGCTTGCAACTAAGAGTGTGTGTGTTGCCCGGGCTCCTGTAAAACACTACTGTGATCTGATCAATAAACTAGACAACACAGACTCTGCGTTTTCATTAACCTCTTTTACGTATTAAAAGGACTTAGCACTTAGTTGATATTTTCTTTATTCAACACACCACCTGTATCACACTGAGGCAGGGTGACCTTAAAAGATAAAATGCTGGTAGCAAGGTGCTAGTAACACACTCCTGTATAAATTACTGCAGTGCTCTATGACCCTTATGGGTTCAGTGATTACTTTTGATTAACATGACTCACGAAGTCGTAATGACACGATTGCAAACAAACCATACCACTGGCGGGATTGAACCCACGGTCAGTCTCTCAAAACTCCAGACCACGCTAGCTGGAGATTCGTCTGTAAAAACTTGCATTTGTGGTCACAGTGGTGCCTATGCTAACCTTCCTATGGTGTAGAAATATACCTAGTTGGACGAATCTTCTTGTGGCTAGCTGGTCCAGTGGCTAACGTGACGGTCTGGAGTTTTGAGACTCTGACCGCGGGTTCAATCCCGCCTGTGGTATGGTTTGATTACTTTTGATTATGTATAAATTACTAAATGCAAAAAGTGAAAGTTTTTCTTTTTAGGTCACCCTGTCTCGGGATACAGCTGGCATGTTGAAAAAGAAAAAAAAAATTTTCAAGTTACATGGTTCACCTTATACAGACCATAGCTGATATCAGTAACATATATAGGAAGTCCTTGGTTATGTCCCAGGATGCCACCCACACCAGTCCACTAACACTCGGGTACCTACATACTGCTAGGTAACCAGAGACAGCAGGGATGTGGTTCTCATCACCTAGACTGAGAGACTGATAACTTAAGTCTTCTAATATCTTCTGTGTGTATTTCTACCATCTTCAACCAACTGAAACACTATAGCTAACAAAAACTAAAGCTTAATAAAACTATCCAAAAGTAACTAGAACTAAAACTACCCAAAAGTAACTATAAAACAACCCTAAAGTAATTATAACTAAAACTACCCTAGAGTAACTATAAAACTACCCAAAAGTAACTATAAAACAACCCTAAAGTAATTATAACTAACTATAGCCCTTGTGTGGTGAGGGGCTCTTGATTTAGGGAATTGGATCTGTGCTCCAGTTCCCCGAATTAAGCCTGAATGCCTTCCACATCCCCCCCCCCAGGCGCTGTATAATCCTCCGGGTTTAGCGCTTCCCCCTTGATTATAATAATAATATAGCCCTTGTGGCTTAGTGCTTCTTTTTGATTATAATATAACTAAAACTACCCTAGAGTAACTATAAAACTACCCAAAACTAGAACTAAAACTACCCAAAAGTAACAAACTAAACAAAAGCAACAAGAACTGAAACTACCCAAAAGTAACTATAAAACAACCCTTAAGTAATTATAACTATAACTACCCTAAAGTAACTAAAACTACCCAAAAGCACCCCTCAATGGAGGTTCCTGCTGTATAGCATTTGTGGTTTAGCGCTTTTTTTTTTATTGTAAGGGAGGTTCCTTGATGCTGGAACCCTTCAAGGAAGGTTCCTTGATATTGGTGAGGGGCTCTTGATTTAGGGAATTGGATCAGTGCTCCAGTTCCCCGAATTAAGCCTGAATGCCTTCCACATCCCCCCCCAGGCGCTGTATAATCCTCCGGGTTTAGCGCTTCCCCCTTGATTATAATAATCCTTGATGCTGGTGAGGGGCTCTTGATCCAGGGAATTGGATCTGTACTCCAGTTCCCTGAATTGAGCCTAAATACCTTCCACCCCTACATGCGCTGTATAATCCTACGGGTTTAGCGCTCCCCATAATAATGCCCAAAAGTAACTATAAAGTACCCAAAAGTTACTATAACTAAAAATACCCAAAAGTAGGTAGAAGTAACTAAAAACAGTAAAAGAAGTACTAAAACCATCTAGAAAAACGAAAACTAAACTAAAACTATGTAAAACTATCTCCCCTCAAGGAAGGTTCCTTGATGTTGGTGAGGGGCTCTTGATTTAGGGAATTGGATCTGTGCTCCAGTTCCCCGAATTAAGCCTGAATGCCTTCCACATCCCCCCCCCCCAGGCGCTGTATAATCCTCCGGGTTTAGCGCTTCCCCCTTGATTGTAATAATAATAATAATAATAGGTAAAACTAAGTTAAACAAACTTGACCATTACGGTATAAGAGGCCATGCACTTGCTTATTTCAAATCTTACCTTACTAATAGGTATCAGTATGTCACCATTAAAGACACAGCATCAACAACACGGCCACTTGATACTGGAGTTCCGCAGGGAAGTGTCCTTGGTCCCCTGCTCTTCCTCATATACATCAATGATCTTCCAAACGTATCCCAACACCTGAAACCCATTCTCTTTGTAAAGTAAAAGGACACAAGTGCAACTAATGTGACATTTATTGTGGCAACGTTTCGCTCTCCAGGAGCTTTATCAAGCCATTACAACAATACATGTAATGGCTTGATAAAGCTCCTGGAGAGCGAAACGTTGCCACAATAAATGTACATTAGTTGCACTTGTGTCCTTTTACTTTACATATTGTCGGTAATTCTACCAACTTTATTACACCCATTCTCTTTGCTGACGACACGACTTATGTCATCTCTCACCCTAATCTTGCCACCCTCAACACCATTGTTAACGAGGAGCTGATCAAATATCGACTTGGATGACAGCCAATAAACTTACGCTTAACACTGACAAAACTTACTATATTATGTTTGGTAGCAGAGCAGGAGATGCACAAATTAACATTAAGATCGACAACACTCTAATTACCAGAAAATGAGGGCAAATTCTAGGCCTATACCTGACAACACCTGAATTTCAGCACCCATTATCCAACCATAACCAAAAAAGTATCCAAAACGGTTGGGATCCTCTCCAAGATACGATACTACGTACCGCAAGCTGCCCTTCTCACACTATACCACTCATTTATCCATACCTCACCTATGCTATTTGTGCATGGGGATCAACTGCAGCAACACACCTAAAGCAATAATAACCCAACAAAAAGCTGCAGTAAGAATAATCACTAAATCCCATCCCTGGCAGCACCCCCAACCCCCACTCTTCATAGATCTAAACTTACTCCCTGTTCAGTACATCCACACTTACTACTGTGCAATCTACATCTACAGGACCTTTAACTCCAATATCAACCTTGACCTAAAACGCTTTCTTGATAGTTGTGACAGAACCCACAGGCATAACACCAGAAACAAACATCTCTACGACATTCCCCGTGTCCGACTAAACCTTTACAAAAATTCAATGTATGTCAAAGGCCCTGAAATCTGGAATACCCTACCTGAGAACTCTAGAACTGCAGACACATTCATCACCTTCAAAACTACCATTAGAAAACATCTTATCTCTCTGATAAACCCCGTCAACTAACTACACGAATACCACCTGGTGGTTCACACTTACACTCACTCACTCATTTGACCATAAACAGAAATATTAATCTCAATCTTAAAATAATGAATCCTGTGATACTCCAATACTGAAACTATGTACTGTGCCAAAACAAAAGCATTCACATTGCTAAACTCACAAACTAGTATTTAGTCACTTAGCCATAATACCAACTTACCTCATAATTTGTAATATTTTAAAATTAAGAATAAAACTAAGTCTGCCCGAAATGCCTAGCCATGCTAGGTGTTCTAGTGGTACACTCTGTAATACCTAGCCATGCTAGGTGTTCTAGTGGTACACTCTGTAATACCTAGCCATGCTAGGTGTTCTAGTGGTACACTCTGTAATACCTAGCCATGCTAGGCGTTCTAGTGGTACACTCTGTAATACCTAGCCATGCTAGGTGTTCTAGTGGTACACTCTGTAATACCTAGCCATGCTAGGTGTTCTAGTGGTACACTCTGTAATACCTAGCCATGCTAGGCGTTCTAGTGGTACACTCTGTAATACCTAGCCATGCTAGGTGTTCTAGTGGTACACTCTGTAATACCTAGCCATGCTAGGTGTTCTAGTGGTACACTCTGTAATACCTAGCCATGCTAGGTGTTCTAGTGGTACACTCTGTAATACCTAGCCATGCTAGGCGTTCTAGTGGTACACTCTGTAATACCTAGCCATGCTAGGTGTTCTAGTGGTACACTCTGTAATACCTAGCCATGCTAGGTGTTCTAGTGGTACACTCTGTAATACCTAGCCATGCTAGGCGTTCTAGTGGTACACTCTGTAATACCTAGCCATGCTAGGCATTCTAGTGGTACACTCTGTAATACCTAGCCATGCTAGGTGTTCTAGTGGTACACTCTGTAATACCTAGCCATGCTAGGTGTTCTAGTGGTACACTCTGTAATACCTAGCCATGCTAGGTGTTCTAGTGGTACACTCTGTAATACCTAGCCATGCTAGGTGTTCTAGTGGTACACTCTGTAATACCTAGCCATGCTAGGTGTTCTAGTGGTACACTCTGTAATACCTAGCCATGCTAGGTGTTCTAGTGGTACACTCTGTAATACCTAGCCATGCTAGGTGTTCTAGTGGTACACTCTGTAATACCTAGCCATGCTAGGTGTTCTAGTGGTACACTCTGTAATCACAATTTTACTACATGTAAACCAACAATAACCAAATTTCTGTAAACTCAGCATTGTAATCCTTATAGAGAATAAACTTTGAATTTGAATTTGAAAACTAAGTTAATTATTATTATAATCAAGGGGGAAGCGCTAAACCCGGAGGATTATACAGCATCTGGGGGGGGGGGGATGTGGAAGGCATTCAGGCTTAATTCGGGGAACTGGAGCACAGATCCAATTCCCTAAATCAAGAGCCCCTCACCAACATCAAGGAACCTTCCTTGAGGGGCCTGGTGGCTAAAGCTCCCGCTTCACACACGGAGGGCCCGGGTTCGATTCCCGGCGGGTGGAAACATTTCGACACGTTTCCTTACACCTGTTGTCCTGTTCACCTAGCAGCAAATAGGTACCTGGGTGTTAGTCGACTGGTGTGGGTGGCATCCTGGGGGACAAGATTAAGGACCCCAATGGAAATAAGTTAGACAGTCCTCGATGACGCACTGACTTTCTTGGGTTATCCTGGGTGGCTAACCCTCCGGGGTTAAAAATCCGAACGAAATCTTATCTTATCTTATCTTAAACTAAGTTAAACTAAGTTAACTAGTGTTAACAGTACGGTAGCAGCTCTCAGCTGCCCTATAAACCATCAACAACATGGCCGCCTCAACTTTATTCTCGTCTTATTTTTGATGAAAATTAGGTGTTTTTTGGTGTTTTTTCTGCGCCATGATGATAGGCAGGTGCTTGTTGCAGGTGTTGAGAGGCGTTAGGTGCCAACACCTGCAAGTGCGACACCTGAATCATGCTAAAACAGGTTAGTTCGTAGGTACCTGGTGTTAGTACACCTAGCAGTAAGTAGGTACCTGGTGTTAGTACACCTAGCAGTAAGTAGGTACCTGGTGTTAGTACACCTAGCAGTAAGTAGGTACCTGGTGTTAGTACACCTAGCAGTAAGTAGGTACCTGGTGTTAGTACACCTAGCAGTAAGTAGGTACCTGGTGTTAGTACACCTAGCAGTAAGTAGGTACCTGGTGTTAGTACACCTAGCAGTAAGTAGGTACCTGGTGTTAGTACACCTAGCAGTAAGTAGGTACCTGGTGTTAGTACACTAGCAGTAAGTAGGTCCTGGTGTTAGTACACCTAGCAGTAAGTAGGTTCCTGGTGTTAGTACACCTAGCAGTAAGTAGGTACCTGGTGTTAGTACACCTAGCAGTAAGTAGGTACCTGGTGTTAGTACACCTAGCAGTAAGTAGGTACCTGGTGTTAGTACACCTAGCAGTAAGCAGGTACCTGACAGTTTACCTAGTAGTAAGGAGGTAACTGGGTGTTAGCTCACATTATTAGGTACCTTTCTGTGCTTCATTTAAAGTAGTCGATGTATGTCTATTAATGCTATGTTCATTAAGACTATGTCTATCAAGACTATATTAAGTCTGTGTCTATTAAGACTATGTCTATTAACACTATATCTATTAAGTCTGTGTCTATTAAGGCTATGTCTATCAAGACTATACTAAGTCTGTGTCTATTAAGGCTATGTCTATTAACACTATATCTATTAAGTCTGTGTCTATTAAGGCTATGTCTATTAAGACTATGTCTATTAGCTATATCTATTAAGTCTGTGTCTATTAAGGCTATGTCTATTAAGACTATGTCTATTAGCTATATCTATTAAGTCTGTGTCTATTAAGGCTATGTCTGTATGTCTATTAAGTCAGTTGTCTGCAAGACTTTATAGAATTAATTTTTTCCGTTGTCATTTGCTAACGAATCTTAGGCCTATGGTTCAAGCCATTTTAAAATTTTGAGTTTGTATCAGCCTATGTAGAAAAAAATAAGTTTAGAATTTAAAAAATAAAATCCAAATCTCTTCGATTTTATTGTACGCTTTGTAGGATTTTTTTTGTAAATACGTGAAACATTAAAAAATAAGAGAAATGGGCTACAGTGTTTTTTTATTGCTTATTATGACAATTCTTGTAACAAGAATAGTAAATTATTAGGCCTGTGATTCAAACCATTGTAAAAATCTCTAGCCTGTATCAGTTTTGTAACAAGAATCATTAGGTCAGGTCAGGCCAGGCTAGGTCAGGTCAGGTTAGGTTAAGTTATTTGTTTAATGTCCGTTATGGCTGTAAAGACTCTCTGTGTATCTGTTTAGGAGATGAGAAAATCTGGGAGAATATATATCAACGTGAGGTACCGAGGACTATGGAGGAGATGGGGTTGGCACTGCAGAAGGAGGTCCAGTCTCCGCCTGATGCACGCCTTCTGAAGGTAGCCATCGTTGGTGTGCCAAACTGCGGCAAGAGTACTCTCATCAATACACTCGTGGGATGGAGAGTAAGTTATAAAGAGTACAAATAATATACTTTCATTTTTAATATACAGTGGTGGCCTGGTATCCATGGTTGATACCAAGAACTACCATGGATATCACAATGGAGAGTAGCAAACCCTATATACAGTGGACCCCCGGTTTACGATATTATTTCATTCCAGAAGTATGTTCAGGTGCCAGTACTGACCGAATTTGTTCCCATAAGGAATATTGTGAATTAGATTAGTCCATTTCAGACCCCCAAACATACACATACAAATGTACTTACATAAATACACTTACATAATTGGTTGATTGGGAGCTGATCGTAAACTGGGGGTCCACTGTATAAGTTTTTTTTTATTCGCTGGTACTCTCCCGGCCCGGGTCTTTTCCAAGTAGTGGTGACCCGGCCTTGGCTCCTATCTGGGGAGTGTCTCGAGACGTAAGTCTCCCATGGGAGGAGGTACAAGTACCCCCTCATATATAAGTTGTTTTTGGTTTATATACATACCTATGATTAAGCAACAGCCTGGTTGATCAGGCTCTGATCCACCAGTGGTGATCTCAGACTTGTCACGGGGCGTTGAATCCGAATCACTCTTCCAGTTAATTCAGGTAAACATCAGTAAGGGTTATTTTTGGTCCTGATGGGAAGAACTTCACAAGCTCTACTTTTGTTCTTTGTCCCCATTTTTATTAAACCAAATTAAGGGTTATTTTTGGGCCGTGGAGAACCACGGAAACTGAGGCCGTGAGGGTTCTACTGTGCTAGAATTTTCCTTGGATGAAGTATCAGCAGAATTCTTCCTTGTCATGATAAGTGGTTTTCTTAAAAGCTTGTAGAGATGGTCCCAGCTTATGATGGGGTTATGTCCTGCTGAACCCATTGTAAGTTGAATATGTAAATAGATAAGTAAATAACTACTGTCCCTGAATTAGTAAATAAATAATTACTGTAATGAACTAAATACAGTGGTACCTTGGGATACGAACTTATTTCGCTCCAGACAGCTGTTCAAGTGCTGATACTGAACGAGTTTGTTCCCATAAGAAATAATGTAAATTGGATTAATCCATTTCAGACCCCGAAAAATACACTTACAAAAGCACTTTCATAAATACCCTTATGTAATTGTTAGCGTTTTGAGCTGTTTGTATCCTGAGGTACCACTGTACCAGTACAGTAGAGTGCTGTACTGTACTGGTATGATATTTACAGTACATTGGCTTGATTACTGAAGGATGACTACTGAATTGGCATTGTACCGTCTTAGAGTCAAAATATTCTAAGTCAAACTATTGTAAAGTGAGGATCACCTGTAGTATGGTTTTTATTAATTGATCAGAATCTGAGGTTTTCCCAGAGGTAAAGCATCGTAAATGTATAAAGTGGTTTCTCTAAATAGCAAAGATAATACAAGTAGACCCTCACCTAACGATATTAATTGGTACCCGAGAACGAATATCGTTAGGCGAGTTTTTTAGTGTTAGCTGAGGCAAAATGTTAGCGTTAAAATGTATCGTTAGGCGAAATTTAACATTATGCGATGCGTTCGTTAGGCGAGGGTCCACTGTACTGATGCCCAGGTAGGCATACTTCACTAACACGTTGGTTAGGCTCCGGAGAATGCAGTCATTTATTATCGTATTTTCTGGCACATAAGCGCATAAGTATACATGATGTATAAGACGATGTTTGCAAGCATTTGTAACGCAACATTAGTAAACAACTGCTAAAGTGTAACGTAAAATCTACCCTTTACCCTGACCATATAAGGCACAAGCTGGTTTTCCAAGATTTTTTGTGAGGAAAAAATCGTGCTTTGTATGATGAAAAATATGGTAAGTGCACAGTAGTATTACACCCAAAAAATAGTAAGTGCACAGTGGTGTTAGACCCAGAAAATACAGTAAGTGCACAGTAGCACTAGACCCAGAAAATACAGTAAGTGCACAGTAGCACTAGACCCAGAAAATACAGTAAGTGCACAGTAGCGCTAGACCCAGAAAATACAGTAAGTGCACAGTAGCGCTAGACCCAGAAAATACAGTAAGTGCACAGTAGCGCTAGACCCAGAAAATACAGTTAGTGCACAGTAGCGCTAGACCCAGAAAATACAGTAAGTGCACAGTAGCACTAGACCCAGAAAATACAGTAAGTGCACAGTACTGCTAGACCCAGAAAACAGTGTTCAATTCAGCTTGAAGTCAGTTGATGTGTGCATCATCACCATGCTAGGCCTTTTATGTTGCAATCAACACATCAGGAGCTTGCAGTGTTGCAGAAGAGAGAAGAAGGTCCAAGCAGGTACGATCACAGGAAGCACCTTTTCTCGAATGGCCAAGAGCTATCATTCAACTCCCCTATCTTAACAGCAAGTGTTGATAATAATAAACATAATATGTATTAGTGAAACACTAAACCAGTAGCCTCCCAGATAAACCAGGCTGTGATGGATATGTGAGTCTTTGGGCCACCAGCAGCAACAGCCTGGTTGTCCAGGCTAACACCAGACCAGCCTGGCTCATGGCCAGGCTCTGAGAGTAGTAAGACTCTTGAAACTCATCAAAGGTATATCAAAGGTAACCTTTCAGTATGAAAGAGCCAATTTGAAAACTCAAATTTAGGGGTCCACAATTGCCAATTTTATCTGCATAAATCACACACATTAGAAATGGAAGATGGCCATTAGAGGCGGCAGTAACGTTTTGGTGTAAAATGACTTTAAATGTTTTGTAATTGATAAATTAGACACATGTGCAACACTTGGGTATATTTAATGAGGAAATGTTTTGCCACACAGTGGCTTCATCAATCCATACAAAGGAGAATCATGAAGAACAGAAGGAGTGTGAGGTAATCAGTCCCTCAGCCTTAGTCGATGTAATCAGTCCATCAATCTTGAAAAGAATACAGCATATGTGTGAAGAAGTGACTTATATACTGTAGGCAGATGATGAGGTGCAGCAGTTGTAGGTGGTAACACATTTGTCCAGTGTGGAAGTAGGTCGTGCCTAAGGGTTAGGCAAGCGAAGAATTCCCTGTATTAAGATCCCAAGAAGTTGCTGTGTCAGACAGGATTGTAGATGAATAGTTCAGAGAACCATGGTTCTCTGAGCCATTCTTCTACAATCCTATTTTGTAATTGTTGACACTATTGTTGACTGTTCAACTGCCTCCCAGCACACATAAGGGGGATTACCAACAGACCCCTGGCAGTCTTCAAGCTGGCACTGGACAAGCACCTAAAGTCAGTTCCGGATCAGCCGGGCTGTGGCTCGTATGTTGGTTTGCGTGCAGCCAGCAGCAACAGCCTGGTTGATCAGGCTCTGATCCACCAGGAGGCCTGGTCTCAGACCGGGCCGCGGGGGCGTTGACCCCCGGAACTCTCTCCAGGTAAACTCCAGGTAAACTATGCCGTGTGGAACCTACATAAAAGTGAATTCAGAATTTCACGCAAGGTCTGCATCTGTTTCCTAGAAGGACCACGTGTGGCCCTCCGACCAGAAATTGGAGACCCCTGGTGTAGGTGAATCACTCTAAGAGGTATACCTACTGTTACTGTACCTGGTATACCTACTGTTACTGTACCTGGTATACCTACTGTTACTGTACCTGGTATACCTACTGTTACTGTACCTGGTATACCTACTGTTACTGTACCTGGTATACCTACTGTTACTGTACCTGGTATACCTACTGTTACTGTACCTGGTACTACCTACTGTTACTGTACCTGGTATACCTACTGTTACTGTACCTGGTATACCTACTGTTACTGTACCTGGTATACCTACTGTTACTGTACCTGGTATACCTACTGTTACTGTACCTGGTATACCTACTGTTACTGTACCTGGTATGCCTACTGTTACTGTACCTGGTACTACCTACTGTTACTGTACCTGGTATGCCTACTGTTACTGTACCTGGTATACCTACTGTTACTGTACCTGGTATACCTACTGTTACTGTACCTGGTACTACCTACTGTTACTGTACCTGGTATACCTACTGTTTACTGTACCTGGTATACCTACTGTTACTGTACCTGGTACTACCTACTGTTACTGTACCTGGTATACCTACTGTTACTGTACCTGGTACTACCTACTGTTACTGTACCTGGTATACCTACTGTTACTGTACCTGGTATACCTACTGTTACTGTACCTGGTACTACCTACTGTTACTGTACCTGGTATACCTACTGTTACTGTACCTGGTACTACCTACTGTTACTGTACCTGGTATGCCTACTGTTACTGTACCTGGTACTACCTACTGTTACTGTACCTGGTATACCTACTGTTACTGTACCTGGTATACCTACTGTTACTGTACCTGGTATACCTACTGTTACTGTACCTGGTATACCTACTGTTACTGTACCTGGTATACCTACTGTTACTGTACCTGGTATACCTACTGTTACTGTACCTGGTATACCTACTGTTACTGTACCTGGTATACCTACTGTTACTGTACCTGGTATACCTACTGTTACTGTACCTGGTATACCTACTGTTACTGTACCTGGTATACCTACTGTTACTGTACCTGGTATGCCTACTGTTACTGTACCTGGTATACCTACTGTTACTGTACCTGGTATACCTACTGTTACTGTACCTGGTATACCTACTGTTACTGTACCTGGTAATGATAACTGATACATAAGCATACTGCTTAATGAAATATAAATGAAATTCAAAATTTGATTGCATTTTCTCCATAGATTAAAGCCATTCTAGAAACATAATTTACTTCCTAGACTTAAAATTTTTTTTATTTGTAATAAAAGCCTTTGCCATTTTTGTATTATTTATTATTAATTTTGACATGATACAATGTACTATTTACATTAATTCTTATTGCATATTTTCCAACGTGATCTTTTTTTTGCTATTTATTTTTTATACATCACTATACTTGTATTTCTTAAGAAAAAAGTTGTATTTTGTGAAGGCTTTTATGCGTTCTTCATAGGCCTACCATGTTTAATTCCACCCCCCCCCTCCCTGGTGATATTCTTAACTATTATAAATCTAATGGTTATGATTATAGCCATAATTTTTGGAGGGGTGAAGGGGTAATCCAGTGGAAGGCCTCTGTCAGATGACCTAAAGTTCCAGCTGTGGGTCATCATCTAAGACCTACATCAGGAAACACTTGTCCTGTTACCTGATGAACTTTATCTAACCTAACCTAACTTATCCTAACATAACCTTACCAAGCATACCCTAACCTAACCTAAAGTGACTTAACCTAACCTAACATTAATGTAACCTACCCTAATCTAGCCTAACGTAACCTAACTGTAACCTTAACCTAGCCTAACCTAACCTAACCTAGCCTATCCTAATGTAGCCTAACCTACCATAACCTAACCTAACCTAACCTAACCTAACCTAACCTAGCCTAACCTAACCTAACCTAGCCTATCCTAATGTAGCCTAACCTACCATAACCTAACCTAACCTAACCTAACCTAACCTAACCTAGCCTATCCAAACCTAACCTAGCCTAACCTAACCTAACCTAGCCTATCCTAACCTAACCTAGCCTAACCTAACCTAACCTAACCTATCCTAACCTAACCTAACCTAGCCTAACCTAACCTAACCTAACCTAACCTAGCCTATCCTAACCTAACCTAACCTAACCTAACCTAACCTAACCTATCCTAACCTAACCTAGCCTAACCTAACCTAACCTAGCCTATCCTAATGTAGCCTAACCTACCATAACCTAACCTAACCTAACCTAACCTAACCTAACCTAACCTAGCCTAACCTAGCCTATCCTAATGTAACCTAACCTACCATAACCTAACCTAACCTAACCTAACCTAACCTGTGGTGTTCCCATCATGTGTAAACATATTCTTTTCTCACCTGAAGACTCTTGACCATTTCTTCAAGTGTGACATAGGAACATTGTAAGTCGAAGAGCACCTGTATATTGGTTTTCTAAAGTGCATTTCTTTGTGCAGGTGTGCAGCGTGTCATACAAGGTGCACACCACAGAGGTGCGCGCCAGAGCTGTGCACAACATGGGGTCTACGCAGCTGGTCTTCCTCGACACACCAGGACTTGTTACTCCCAAAGAAATTACGAAGTAATGATAAATTTTAAAAAACAAATTAATCAATGAATTTTTGTATTTTTAGATTATTTTTTTAACACATTGGTTGTTTCCAACCAAGGTACGGTGACCCATAAAAAAAGAAACACTTTCATCATCACTCACTCCATCACTGTCTTGCCAGATGTGTGCTGATACTATAGTTAAAAAACTGCTACATTATTGGTTTAGAAATAGGGTAGTGGATGAGTGGAACTGTCTGCCTAGTAGTCAATGAGTGGAACAGTCTGCCTAGTAGTCAATGAGTGGAACAGTCTGCCTAGTAGTGGATGAGTGGAACAATCTGCCTAGTAGTGGATGAGTGGAACAATCTGCCTAATAGTGGATGAGTGGAACAGTCTGCCTAGTAGTGGATGAGTGGAACAATCTGCCTAGTAGTGGATGAGTGGAACAATCTGCCTAGTAGTGGATGAGTGGAACAGTCTGCCTATAGTGGATGAGTGGAACAATCTGCCTAGTAGTGGATGAGTAGAACAATCTGCCTAATAGTGGATGAGTGGAACAGTCTGCCTAGTAGTGGATGAGTGGAACTGTCTGCCTAGTAGTCAATGAGTGGAACAGTCTGCCTAGTAGTCAATGAGTGGAACAGTCTGCCTAGTAGTGGATGAGTGGAACAATCTGCCTAGTAGTGGATGAGTGGAACAATCTGCCTAGTAGTGGATGAGTGGAACAGTCTGCCTAGTAGTGGATGAGTGGAACAATCTGCCTAGTAGTGGATGAGTGGAACAATCTGCCTAGTAGTGGATGAGTGGAACAGTCTGCCTAGTAGTGGATGAGTGGAACAATCTGCCTAGTAGTGGATGAGTGGAACAATCTGCCTAGTAGTGGATGAGTGGAACAGTCTGCCTAGTAGAGGATGAGTGGAACTGTCTGCCTAGTAGTCAATGAGTGGAACAGTCTGCCTAGTAGTCAATGAGTGGAACAGTCTGCCTAGTAGTGGATGAGTGGAACAGTCTGCCTAGTAGTGGATGAGTGGAACAGTCTGCCTAGTAGTGGATGAGTGGAACAGTCTGCCTAGTAGTGGATGAGTGAACAGTCTGCCTTGTAGTGGATGAGTGGAACAGTCTGCCTAGTATGGATGAGTGGAACAGTCTGCTAGTAGTGGATGAGTGGAACAGTCTGCCTAGTAGTGGATGAGTGAAACAGTCTGCCTAGTAGTGGATGAGTGGAACAGTCTGCCTAGTAGTGGATGAGTGGAACAGTCTGCCTAGTAGTGATGAGTGGAACAGTCTGCCTAGTAGTGGATGAGTGGAACAGTCTGCCTAGTAGTGGATGAGTGGAACATTCTGCCTAGTAGTGGATGAGTGGAACAGTCTGCCTAGTAGTGGATGAGTGGAACAGTCTGCCTAGTAGTGGATGAGTGGAACAGTCTGCCTAGTAGTGGATGAGTGGAACAGTCTGCCTAGTAGTGGATGAGTGGAACAGTCTGCCTAGTAGTGGATGAGTGGAACAGTCTGCCAAGTAGTGGATGAGTGGAACAGTCTGCCAAGTAGTGGATGAGTGGAACAGTCTGCCTAGTAGTGGATGAGTGGAACAGTCTGCCAAGTAGTGGATGAGTGGAACAGTCTGCCTAGTAGTGGATGAGTGGAACAGTATGCCTAGTAGTGGTGGAACAGTCTGCCTAGTAGTGGTGGAACAGTCTGCCTAGTAGTGGATGAGTGGAACAGTCTACCTAGTAGTGGATGAGTGGAACATTCTGCCAAGTAGTGGATGAGTGTGGTACTATGTACCACAAATGACACTCCTTATCCTATACCACTCTTTAATATATCCCTACCTCACCTATGGTATTTGTGTCTGGGAGATCAACCACAGCCAACCACCCTAAACCTTAAATAACCCAACAAAAAGCCGCTGTACAAATGATTACCAGCTCCTGTGCCAGACAGCACACCTCACCACTTCACAAAAGCCTGAGCCTACTTAATATACAAGACATGCACTCATATTATTGTGCCTATTATATACAGAACATTAAACTCCAATATAAACCACCCTCTTAAATTTCTTGATGACTACAACAGAAAGCACAGTCATAGTACAAGGCACAAGGCTCTCTTTGACAGCCCTCATGTCAGTTTCACAATATGGTGCCTCATGGCCTGGTGGCTAAAGCTCTCCCCTCACACGGCGAGGGTCTGGGTTCAATTCCCAGTGAGGGTAGAAACAATGGGCATGTTTCTTTACACCAGATGTCAGTGTTCCCCATCAGTAAAATGGGAACCTGGGAGTTAGTCGACTAGTGTGGGTCGCATCCTGGGACGAAACTGGCTTAATCTGCCCGAAATGCTCTGCATAACAAGCGGCTTTCTATGTAGTAATATGTCATTGATGTCAGCTAGGCTTGTATAACTTGCACATGTACTTGTAGAAATAAAGATATTATTATTATTATTTTATTATTATTATTATTATTATTATTATTATTATTATTATTATTATGCAAAAATGCAATGCACGTAAAGGGCCTGAAGATCTGGAATTCACTACCTGAACTGGTAAAGGATCTCCTGACAATATACAAATTTAGGGCTATGCTTAAAAATCATCTTATCTCTCATTACTAACCAGATCAACCTAAACAGCTTCTAACCAGTTAACATAAGAATGGAGGAACCCTGCAGAAGGCCTACTGACCCATACAAGGCAGGTCCTTATCAAAAGAACCCTTTCCCAAAGCTACCCAAGAACTTACTCACATACCCACGATACCAGTCAAACCCAGCCCCTCCCACTCATATATTTGTCCACTCTCTTCTTAAAGCTACCCAGGGTCCTAGCCTCGATTACCCTACTTGGAAGATTGTTCCACTCATCGACCACTCTGTTTGAAAACCAATACTTACTCATTATTTTTTTATTATTATCACACTGGCCGATTCCCACCAAGGCAGGGTGGCCCGAAAAAGAAAAACTTTCACCATCATTCACTCCATCACTGTCTTGCCAGAAGGGTGCTTTACACTACAGTTTTCAAACTGCAACATTAACACCCCTCCTTCAGAGTGCAGGCACTGTACTTCCCATCTCCAGGACTCAAGTCCGGCCTGCCGGTTTCCCTGAATCCCTTCATAAATGTTACTTTGCTCACACTCCAACAGCACATCAAGTCCTAAAAACCATTTGTCTCCATTTGCTCCTATCTAACACACTAACACATGCTTGCTGGAAGTCCAAGCCCCTCGCACACAAAACCTCCTTTACCCCCTCCCTCCAACCTTTCTGCCTTCCCTCCACTACAGATTTATACACTCTCGAAGTCATTCTATTTTGTTCCAGCCTCTCTACATGCCTTACCCACCTAGGATAAGTCTGCCTGAAATGCCCTGGCATGATAGTGGCTCTCTTTGTACTTAGTGGATGAGTGGAGCAGTCTACCTAGTAGTGGGTGAGTGGAGCAGTCTACCTAGGTATTGGATGAGTGGAACAGTCTACCTAGTAGTGGGTGAGTGGAACAGTCTACCTAGTAGTGGGTGAGTGGAGCAGTCTACCTAGGTATTGGATGAGTGGAACAGTCTACCTAGTAGTGGATGAGTGCAGCAGTCTACCTAGTAGTGGATGAGTTGAACAGTCTACCTAGTAGGGTCATTGAAGCTAAAACCTTGGGAAGCTTCAGATATAGTTGAGATAAATACATGAGTGAGAGGGGCTGGATTTAAGTGGGACTTGCACATAAATTAATAGTGTTATCAACGCTTATTCCTTGGGTAACATCGATAATGGGATGGACAAATATTTTTTTAGAGGGTTTGGGTTGGAGAAGAACCTGCCTAGTATGGGCCAATGTGCCTGTTGCGGTGTTCCTCCATTCTTAAGTTCTTCCTTTGGAGTACAGGCACTGTGCTTCCCACCTCCAGAACTCAAGTCAGGATAACCAGAAATAGTAAGCCGGTGATATATCGGACTAATTGGAGGGAACGGCTGTGGATAGGTGGTGTGTTAGCATTCTCTGGATTGATCACTAGACCCTTTCATTGTTGGTTAAGTAAGTTTTTTCAGGTGCACATAAATACAGTTACATAAATTATCTTACATAGCAACATATGTGTAGATTACCCACTAGGATAGCCCAAAAAACTCAGAGTGACTTATTTCCACTGTAGAAATAAACCTTAACAGTTAAAACAGCTTAGTAACTGAACAATGTAAAATCAGTTACAATAAAAGGAGATACACTAGGAATAAGGTAAACTGAGTTATTTACAATAACATTAAAAAACGATTAGATCACAGTAATAGGTACATGCTAGCTATACAAGAAATCACTCTCCTCCCTTTCTGTAGCTACATTCATTAGGTACCTTTTGGCTCTCTTGACCTGGCTCACACTGTGATAGGGTTTGATATGTGCAGGCAGTCCATTCCACTACTTTACTGCTGTACAATAAAAGGTGTTCGAAGCCTGACCACTGACTGTAGGTACTATAAAATTGTGCTTTCTTTCCCTAGTACTATAATTGCTTTGGTTCCCAGCATTGACAAACTTGTAATAAAGTTGGTAGAATTACCAACAATATGTAAAGTAAAAGGACACAAGTGCAACTAATGTGACATTTATTGTGGCAACGTTTCGCTCTCCAGGAGCTTTATCAAGCTTGATAAAGCTCCTGGAGAGCGAAACGTTGCCACAATAAATGTCACATTAGTTGCACTTGTGTCCTTTTACTTTACATTGACAAACTTGGCAGCAAGATATTATGGACACTGCTTGTGAGCAATTCTACAAATGTTATTTACCTTCAGTTATTTTACTAAGTCTTCAACATTTAGTATATCCAGTTGTTGTAATTCAACCTGGCCTACATGCTGTCTTGGACCCAGGTCCAGGAAGAATCTCACCATTTTGTTTTGGCTGATTTGTAGTATCTTCTCAATTTTTTTGTTAAGGCAGAGTACCATGAAGAGCAAGAAGAATCTATTGGCATTGTATATGAGCTAGACATAGTATTCTGTGAGCCTCAATTGGTAGAGACTTGTCCTCAATAGACACTGCCTGTCTGTAGAGCAATTTTAGTCTGACATTCACTTTCTTTATTACACTGTTCAGTATCAGTTCTCCTGACATGCATGGGTCAAAGGTGATTCCCAGATACTGAAGTGATGGGTTCCCATTTATACTAGACATTAAAATTAGTTACCCTATTCAGTTTATTTTTCGTGACAAAAAGTATGCCTTTTGTTTTTTTGAGTGTGATGATAATTTGTTTACTAGCCATTTACATTACATTACTCTATCTTATGAGTCTTTACCTGACACTAACAGAGCACTGACATCTGCATACAACAGAAGCTTACACTTGATACTGATAGGCATGTCATTCACATAACATAGGAACAATAAGGGACCCAGAATACTACCTTGAGGAACCCCACCTGCTATTGGCAGGAGTTCTGATAATGTGTTGTTGATCTTGACAGTCTGTTTCCTGTTGCTCAGGTAGGACTTAAATCAGCCTATAAAACCTATGCCGATAGCTTGTAGTTTTTTACATAATATATTATACTTTATACAGTAGGTGTTACTAGCACCTTGCTGCCAGTATTTTAGTTGAATATTATTTTTATATAAAAATTTCAGACATGGGTTGAAGCGTTCATTAGTGACAGAAACAGAATTGTCGCTTCATGAAGCTGACTTAATTGCTGTAGTTCATGACGTGTCAAATCACTTCACACGACACGATCTCCACCCCAGAGTGCTGCGACTCCTGACCCTCTACCCTACACTACCCAGTGTGCTGGTGCTAAACAAGGTGAGAAAATACAAGAAAAAACTTTATTTCTTTCTGTAGTATACAAACTGTAGTTTATATATAACAAAAAAAGGCACAATACCGTGACTGGAACGATACACAAATAACCTGCACATAAAAGAGAGAAGCTTACAACGACGTTTCGGTCTGAAACTTTGTAAATGGTCCAAGTCGGACCGAAATGTCATCATAAGCTTCTCTCTTTTATATGTGGGTTATTTGTGTAGTTTATATATAATAAAACATTCTAACCACAAAGAAAGTTACTAACATTTAGAGCATTTTAGGCAGACTAATACTTAGACACTACTTAACAATTAGATATGGATTATTTAGTAGGCATACAAACATAAATTTAGGCATTAAAAATAGAATACAATATGCAGATTGTGTCTATCTTCTCCACTTGTCAGTCTTGTGTTATTTGACTTAGGTGAGAACAGTAAATACAGTAGTGTCCTGGTGTCCATAGGTGATACCTTCCAAGAACTACCATGGATGTCAGAAACCCTGGATAGTAGTGAACACTATACAGTAGTGTCCTGGTATCCATGGATGATACCTTCCAAGAACTATCATAGATGCCAGAAACCCTGGGAAATTATCACTTTTTGATGGGAAGAATTTCACAGCTCCTCTTAGACTTTGAACAACTGTCACCATCACTATTGTGCTTTGTTCCCATTATTATTAAGCAAAATTAAGGCTTATTTTTGGGCCACGGTAAACCACGGATAAGTAAAACCACGGAAACCAGATCCACAGATATGTGGGTCCTACTGTACACAAATAACCTGCACATAGGAGAAGGAAACTTATGGCAACTTTTTGGTCCAACTTGGACCATTAACCAGCCACACTGTAGCACACTGGCTCTCTCACCTTCATGTGTTAGTGTGTGACTAGTTAATTGACCTGGTAGGTTCAAAATGTCATAAGTTTCACCTAGCAGTAAGTAGGCACCTGGGTGTTAGTGGACTGGTGTGGGTGGCATCCTGGGGACATAACCAAGGAGTTTCTACAGTGGACCTAGGTATATGACCTTAAATCGTTCCAGAAGGCTGTTCGAGTGCCGCTCCGTTTGAGTATCGAACAAGTTCTTCCCAGCCAATTTTCTGTTTGGTTGGCTGTTATCACTAATCATTGTAGGCCCCTTGGTGACTTATTTATACAAATAATACAAAAAACACCAAAAAATACAAAGAAACACAAAATAGTTTACAGCAAAGTTCTGCCAGATTGTATTTGTTTGGTCAAGTGCTGAGCTTTGTTTGAGTAGGTAGCTGGTTGTATACCAAGGTTTCACTGTATATTGTATGTCACTGATGTCAGCTATGGTCTGTATAAGTTGTATCAGGTACTTGTTGAAATAAACATTATTATTATTATTTTTTCAACAAACTGGCCATATCTCACCAAGACAGGATGGCCCAAAAAAGAAAAACAAAAGTTTCTCTTTTTGCTCTTGGCATTTTAGTTGCCTTTTACGACACACATGACCTGTGGAGGAAAAATTTTGTTCCACTTCCCCATGGAGATAAAGAGAAATAAACAAGAACAAGAACTAGGAAGAAAATAGAAGAAAACCCAGAGGGGTATGTATATATGTATTTGCTTGTACATGTATGTGTAGTGTGACCTAAGTGTAGGTAGAAGCATCAAGACATACCTGAAATCTTGCATGTTTATGAGACAGAAAAAAGACACCAGTAATCCTACCATCATGTAAAACAATTACAGATTTCCATTTCACACTCACTTGACAGGACGGTAGTACCTCCCTTGGCAGTTTCTGTCTACCAACCTATTACCACAGGACTGTAATATCTCCCTGGGTGGTTGCTGTCTACCAACCTCCTACCACAGGACGGTAGTACCTCCCTGGGCGGTTTCTGCCTACCAACCTATCAAGGATGGTAGTACCTCCCTGGACGGTTGCTGTCTACCAACCTATTAACACAGGACAGTAGTATCTCCCTGGGTGTTTGCTGTCTGCCAACCTGCTAACACAGGACAGTAGTACCTCCCTGGGTGGTTGCTGTCTACCAACCTACTACCACAGGATGGCAGTACCTCCCTGGGTGGTTGCTGTCTACCAGTCTACCACAAGACGGTAGTACCTCCCTGGGTGGTTGCTGTCTACTAACCTACTACCACAGGACAGTAGTACCTCCCTTGGTGGTTGTTGTCTACTAGCCTACTACCACAGGACAGTAGCACTTCCCTGGGTGGTTGCTGTCTACCAACCTACTACCACAGGATGGTAGCACTTCCCTGGGTGGTTGCTGTCTACCAACCTACTACCAGAGGACGGTAGCACTTCCCTGGGTGGTTGCTGTCTACCAACCTACTACCACAGGACGGTAGCACTTCCCTGGGTAGTTGCTGTCTACCAACCTACTACCACAGGACGGTAGTACTTCCCTGGGTGGTTGCTGTCTACCAACCTACTACCACAGGACGGTAGTACTTCCCTGGGTGGTTGCTGTCTACCAACCTACTACCACAGGACGGTAGTACTTCCCTGGGTGGTTGCTGTCTACCAGCCTACTACGTATTATTATTATTTTTAAATGCAGGTTATTTGTGTATTGTTCCAGTCACAGTATTGCAGTATTGTACTCATTGTATATTTCATTAGAATACATTAAGGTTTACAGTAAATAGTTTTACAGTTTATATGGTTTAATGTTAGTTATAGTTTCAAGATAACATTGTATTATAAATTCTAAAGATAGGCCTTTGTTTTGCAAATCATTTTGTACAACTGTCTTGTTGTGTTTGACTGGACATACTGTATTATGATTTAAGCAGCAAGATTGAAGAAGTAAAGTGTAAACCATCACCATGTTTCACTCTTACAGGTTGATAAAGCGAAAAATAAACAGATTCTGCTGGAGATCACACGGATACTTACAGAGGGTGTTGTTGGGGGCCACACGTCCCACCAGGTAATCAAGAAAAGCATTTCCTTGGACCAGGAAACACTTCTGTGCAAGAGTCTTGCAAGAAATTCAGAACAACTTGAATGTAAAACAACCAATTTTGATTATATTGATGGTAGTCAGGATTTTGAGATGAATAGTCGAAGAGAGAATTTGGAGGAAGAATTCGAAGAAGATTCGGTACATGGAGGTGACCATAAAATTTTGTGTGATATCAGCCACTTGAATGAAAAGGACGTCCTAGAGGGTAAAATACTCCTGACAGAGCAACAAGTCAGTGAATTTATTAAAAATCGCAAGTCGTGGCCTAAGTTTGAGGAGGTTTTCATGGTCTCTGCTCTGGACGGAACAGGAATCGATGACCTCCGACAATTTCTTTTCTCTAAGGCCTATAGCAGGCCCTGGATTTTTAGTTCCCAGGTATGTAATTACAAACCTTTATTAAATATTGAATTAGACACCTGTACATCACTCAGGTATACCTGGAGGGGTTTCGGGGGTCAGTGCCCCTGCGGCCCAGTCCATGACCAAGCCTCTAAACAGTTCCTCAATAAATGTACCCAGTTATTGTCTAATTTATCAACTTGTTGGTTCTCTGAACCATTTATCTATATTATTAAAAATTCACTAGCTGGTTAAAAGGATTTTAGGTGTTGTTATGTGCATTGTAAAATGGAAAACAATAAAATGGTACACTATTTGTGTAAAATGGCTCTCTATAGTAGAACTTTTTTGTAATTTTTTTCAATGAACTGGCCATATCCCACTAAAGCTGGGTGGCCTAAAAAGATTTTCTCTTTTTAAATTTAGCAATGTATACAGGAGAAGGGGTTACTAACCCCTTGTTCCTGGCATTTTAGTCGCCTGTTACGACACACATGGCTTGCACAGGAAGAACTCTATTCCACTTCCCCATGGAGTTTTTTTTTTGTAATTGTAATTGAAAAAGTGTATTCGAGATTGAAGGTGTTTCCACTCATTATTCAGTTTTTGGTGTAATTTTGTGGTTGCTTTATTTTTTTTTTTTCAAGGAATCAGCTGTCTCCCACTGAGGCCGGGGAACAAAACAGAAAAACAAAGCTATTTCTTCTTAAATTTAGTAATTTATACAGGAGAAAGTATTACTAGCACCTTGCTGCCAGCATTTATTAATTTATACAGGTGTTACTGCCACCTTGCTGCCAGCATCTAGTAATTTATACAGGTGTTACTGCCAGCATTTATTAATTTATACAGGTGTTACTGCCACCTTGCTGCCAGCATCTAGTAATTTATACAGGTTTTACTGCCACCTTGCTGCCAGCATCTAGTAATTTATACAGGTGTTACTGCCAGCATTTATTAATTTATACAGGTGTTACTGCCAGCATTTATTAATTTATACAGGTGTTACTGCCACCTTGCTGCCAGCATTTAGTAATTTATACAGGTGTTACTGCCACCTAGCTGCCAGCATCTAGTAATTTATACAGGTGTTACTGCCACCTTGCTGCCAGCATCTAGTAATTTATACAGGTGTTACTGCCAGCATTTATTAATTTATACAGGTGTTACTGCCAGCATTTATTAATTTATACAGGTGTTACTGCCACCTTGCTGCCAGCATTTAGTAATTTATACAGGTGTTACTGCCACCTAGCTGCCAGCATCTAGTAATTTATAAAGGTGTTACTGCCACCTTGCTGCCAGCATCTAGTAATTTATACAGGTGTTACTGCCACCTTGCTGCCAGCATTTAATTTATACAGGTGTTACTAGCACCTTGCTGCCAGTATTTAGTAATTTATACAGGTGTTACTACCACCTTGCTGCCAACATTTTAATCGCCTCTTATGACACACACAACTTACAGAGGAAGGATTCTTTTCCACTTCCCCATGGAGAATTATTATTATTATTATTATTATTATTATTATTATTATTATTATTATTATTATTATTATTATTATTATTATTCCAGCCAGAGTGCAACCCCTTAAGCCCCTTCTATACAAAATGTCTAAAGTCACCCCATAATCTACATGCCTGTTCTCTATGTAGAATTTTTTACCTGTATACTGCAGAAAAGTATTATTATTATTATTATTATTATTATTATTATTATTATTCCAGCCAGATCAGAACCCCTAAGTTCCTTCTATACAAAATGTCTAAGTCACCCCTGAATCTGAAGTTTACCTGGAGAGAGTTCCGGGGGTCAACGCCCCCGCGGCCCAGTCTGTGACCAGACCTCCTGGTGGATCAGAGCCTGATCAACCAGGCTGTTACTGTTGGCTGCACGCAAACCAACGTACGAGCCACAGCCCTGCTGGTCAGGAACCGACTTTAGGTGCTTGTCCAGTGCCAGCTTGAAGACTGCCAGGGGTCTGTTGGTAATCCCTCTTATGTATGCTGGGAGGCAGTTGAACAGTCTCAGGCCCCTGACACTTATTGTATGGTCTCTTAACGTGCTAGTGACACCCCTGCTTTTCATTGGGGGGATGTTGCATCGTCTGCCAAGTCTTTTGCTTTCGTAGTGAGTGATTTTCGTGTGCAAGTTCGGTACTAGTCCCTCTAGGATTTTCCAGGTGTATATAATCATGTATCTCTCCCGCCTGCATTTCAGGGAATACAGGTTCAGGAACCTCAAGCGCTCCCAGTAATTGAGGTGTTTTATCTCCGTTATGCGTGCTGTGAAGGTTCTCTGTACATTTTCTAGGTCAGCAATTTCACCTGCCTTGAAAGGTGCTGTTAGTGTGCAGCAATATTCCAGCCTAGATAGAACAAGTGACCTGAAGAGTGTCATCATGGGCTTGGCATCCCTAGTTTTGAAGGTTCTCATTATCCATCCTGTCATTTTTCTAGCAGATGCGATTGATACAATGTTATGGTCCTTGAAGGTGAGATCCTCCGACATGATCACTCCCAGGTCTTTGACGTTGGTGTTTTGTTCTATTTTGTGGCCAGAATTTGTTTTGTACTCTGATGAAGATTTAATTTCCTCGTGTTTGCCATATCTGAGTAATTGAAATTTCTCATCGTTAAACTTCATATTGTTTTCTGCAGCCCACTGAAAGATTTGGTTGATGTCCGCCTGGAGCCTTGCAGTGTCTGCAATGGAAGACACTGTCATGCAGATTCGGGTGTCATCTGCAAAGGAAGACGGGGTGCTGTGGCTGACATCCTTGTCTATGTCAGATATGAGGATGAGGAACAAGATGGGAGCAAGTACTGTGCCTTGTGGAACAGAGCTTTTCACCGTAGCTGCCTCGGACTTTACTCTGTTGACTACTACTCTCTGTGTTCTGTTAGTGAGGAAATTATAGATCCATCGACCGACTTTTCCCATTATTCCTTTAGCACGCATTTTGTGCGCTATTACGCCATGGGCACACTTGTCGAAGGCTTTTGCAAAGTCTGTATATATTACATCTGCATTCTTTTTGTCTTCTAGTGCATCTAGGACTTTGTCGTAGTGATCCAATAGTTGAGACAGACAGGAGCGACCTGTTCTAAACCCATGTTGCCCTGGGTTGTGTAATTGATGGGTTTCTAGATGGGTGGTGATCTTGCTTCTTAGGACCCTTTCAAAGATTTTTATGATATGGGATGTTAGTGCTATCGGTCTGTAGTTCTTTGCTGTTACTTTACTGCCCCCTTTGTGGAGTGGGGCTATGTCTGTTGTTTTTAGTAATTGTGGGACGACCCCCGTGTCCATGCTCCCTCTCCATAGGATGGTAAAAGCTCGTGATAGGGGCTTCTTGCAGTTCTTGATGAACACGGAGTTCCATGAGTCTGGCCCTGGGGCAGAGTGCATGGGCATGTCATTTATCGCCTGTTCGAAGTCATTTGGCGTCAGGATAACATCAGATAGGCTTGTGTTAACCAAATTCTGTGGCTCTCTCATAAAAAATTCATTTTGATCTTCGACTCTCAGTCTGGTTAGCGGCTTGCTAAAAACTGAGTCATATTGGGACTTGAGTAGCTCACTCATTTCCTTGCTGTCATCTGTGTAGGACTCATCTTGTTTAAGTAGGGGCCCAATACTGGACGTTGTTCTCGACTTTGATTTGGCATAGGAGAAGAAATACTTTGGGTTTCTTTCGATTTCATTTATGGCTTTTAGTTCTTCCCGCGATGCCTGACTCCTATAAGATTCCTTTAGCTTAAATTTGATGCTTGCTATTTCTCTGACCAGTGTCTCCCTACGCCTTTCAGATATATTGACCTCTTTTAGCCGCTCTGTTATTCTTTTCTGTCGCCTGTAAAGGGAGCGTCTGTCCCTTTCTATTTTACATGTACTCCTCCTTTTTCTTAGAGGAATAAGCCTTGTGCATACATCGAGCACCACCGAGTTAATCTGTTCTAGGCATAAGCTGGGGTCTGTGTTGCTTAGTATATCTTCCCAGCTTATATCAGTTAGGATTTGGTTTACTTGGTCCCACTTTATGTTTTTGTTATTGAAGTTGAATTTGGTGAATGCTCTCTCGTGTATAAATGGTTTGGAAAAGCAACAAGTTGATAAATGAGACACTTGTGCAATGTTTGGGTATCTTTGTTCTGGAAATGTTTCATCACACATTGGCTTCTTCAGTCCAATGCAGAGAAAGGTGGAAGATGAGGAGGAGTTTGAGGTAATCAGTCCCTCAGCTTGGAATCAGTGTGTTCATCTCTGTGTGGAATTTTGTAGACTACATATGATATTTGAGTAATATATTGGTTGCAGGTTGTGACTGACCAAAATCCCGAGGAAATCGTACTGTCAACCGTACGTGAAAAGTTTCTAAACGCCTTCAGAAGTGAGATCCCTTATACACTCCAGTTCAAGATTGAATACTGGGAGCTCACACAATCTGGTAAGAGTCAGCACAGTCAGTAATTGTTACTCGTATAGATTTCTAAGAGATTCTGATAGACTTAAAGTTATATAGATGCATAAAATCACGATTACAGTGGAACCTCAAATATAGAACTTTCTTCGGTCCAGAAGGCTGTTCAAGTGTCACTACCGAACGAATTTATTCCCATCAGGAATAATGTAAATTAGATTAGTCCATTTCAGACCCTCAAAAATACACTTACAAAAGCACTTACAATTTTTTTTTTTTTTTTTTTCAACAAGTCGGCCGTCTCCCACCGAGGCAGGGTGACCCAAAAAAAGAAAGAAAATCCCCAAAAAGAAAATACTTTCATCATCATTCAACACTTTCACCACACTCACACAAAAATAAACAAAAAATAAACAAAAATAAACTTGCATAATTGGTTGAGTTGGGAGCAGTTCGATTTTTGAGGTTCCACTGTATTGCCATTGTAGGCTTAAGTTTGGCCTGAAATGCTCTGCATAACTATAGTCTTCCAACATGTAAAGGACCCCAATGGAAATAAATCACTCTGTCTGACTTTTTTGGGTTATCCCAGGTTCTCTACACATATGCTCATATGCTGCTATGTATGATAATTCTATGTAACTGTATTTGTGTATACCTGAATAAACTTACTTACTTACTTATGTACAAATGTCACTCATCTCTGTACAAACATTACATCTTTTAACAGATATTCATAGGCCTAAAATTACATAGATTCATAAAACGACTTTTAAAATGAAAAAAAAATATTGCAGTTCAGTGTTATTGTAGTTACGAGGTCGGAACGTTTCTGGCAGGACAGCAGTTGAGCGAGTGATGATGAATGTGTTTTTTTTTTCTTTGGGTCACTGTGCCTTGGTTGGAAATGAATGCTGCAATAAATACAAAAATGCTGTGATAAAAAGTGTTGGTGTGTATGAGTGTATTGTGTGTATAAGTACATTGTGTGTATAAGTATATAGTGTGTATAAGTATATAGTGTGTATAAGTACATAGTGTGTATAAGTACATAGTTTATATAAGTATATAGTGTGTATAAGTACATAGTGTGTATAAGCACATTTTTTTTTTTTTTTATTATCACACTGGCCGATTCCCACCAAGGCAGGGTGGCCCGAAAAAGAAAAACTTTCACCATCATTCACTCCATCACTGTCTTGCCAGAAGGGTGCTTTACACTACAGTTTTTAAACTGCAACATTAACACCCCTCCTTCAAGAGTGCAGGCATTGTACTTCCCATCTCCAGGACTCAAGTCCGGCCTGCCGGTTTCCCTGAACCCCTTCATAAATGTTACTTTGCTCACACTCCAACAGCACGTCAAGTATTAAAAACCATTTGTCTCCATTCACTCCTATCAAACACGCTCATGCATGCCTACTGGAAGTCCAAGCCCCTCGCACACAAAACCTCCTTTACCCCCTCCCTCCAACCTTTCCTAGGCTGACCCCTACCCCGCCTTCCTTCCACTACAGACTGATACACTCTTTAAGTCATTCTGTTTCGCTCCATTCTGTCTACATGTCTGAACCACCTCAACAACCCTTCCTCAGCCCTCTGGACAACAGTATTGGTAATCCCGCACCTCCTCCTAACTTCCAAACTACGAATTCTCTGCATTATATTCACACCACACATTGCCCTCAGACATGACATCTCCACTGCCTCCAGCCTTCTCCTCGCTGCAACATTCATCACCCATGCTTCACACCCATATAAGAGCGTTGGCAAAACTATACTCTCATACATTCCCCTCTTTGCCTCCAAGGACAAAGTTCTTTGTCTCCACAGACTCCTAAGTGCACCACTCACCCTTTTCCCCTCATCAATTCTATGATTCACCTCATCTTTCATAGACCCATCTGCTGACACGTCCACTCCCAAATATCTGAATACATTCACCTCCTCCATACTCTCTCCCTCCAATCTGATATCCAATCTTTCATCACCTAATCTTTCTGTTATCCTCATAACCTTACTCTTTCCTGTATTCACTTTTAATTTTCTTCTTTTGCATACCCTACCAAATTCATCCACCAATCTCTGCAACTTCTCTTCAGAATCTCCCAAGAGCACAGTGTCATCAGCAAAGAGCAACTGTGACAACTCCCACTTTATGTGTGATTCTTTATCTTTTAACTCCACGCCTCTTGCCAAGACCCTCGCATTTACTTCTCTTACAACCCCATCTATAAATATATTAAACAACCACGGTTACATCACACATCCTTGTCTAAGGCCCACTTTTACTGGGAAATAATTTCCCTCTTTCCTACATACTCTAACTTGAGCCTCACTATCCTCGTAAAAACTCTTCACTGCTTTCAGTAACCTACCTCCTACACCATACACCTCCAACATCTGCCACATTGCCCCCCTATCCACCCTGTCATACGTCTTTTCCAAATCCATAAATGCCACAAAGACCTCTTTAGCCTTATCTAAATACTGTTCACTTATATGTTTCACATATAAGCACATAGTATATATAATTATATAGTGTATATAAGTACATAGTGTATATAAGTACATAGTGTATATAAGTACATAATATTAATGTTAGGAGCCAGTGGAGACCAATGGTTTTTATATCTTAGTGATGGAGTGAATAATGATGAAAGTGTTTCTTCTTTTGCAGGTCAACCTGCCTTGGTGAGAACCGGCCGATATGTTAATAAAAGTGCATATATTTTGTTACATGTAAACTACATGACTGTATACTGCATAAAATAAATTATTTGTATTTGTATGTATGCTGTATTTTCAGAGGTGCTTAGTATTATGGTACAAGTAATGTGCAAGAGAGAAGGCTTGGTGCGCCTGATAGTGGGCGGCAGCGGAAGCGTCGTGTCGCAGATTGCCAAAGCTTCAGAGCAATCATTACGCAACACATTTAGAACGGAAGTTATGCTTAAGCTGAATGTGGTTTCCAGTTCCAAGAAGAAGAAGCATAAAAGATAATAAGTAATTCCAGTATTGTCCTGGTATCCGTGGGTGATGTGTTCCAAGACCTACCATGGATGTCGGAAGCACTATGTAGTACATACATAACTATGATAAAGTTTAATTAATAAATTAGACAATAAATGGGAAGAATTTCACAACTTCTCTTAGATTTTGAACAACTGTCACCATCACTACTTTTGTGAATAACAAAAAAGACACAATACCGTGACTGGAACGATACACAAATAACCCGCACATAAAAAAGAGAGAAGCTTATGACGACGTTTCGGTCCGACTTGGACCATTTACAAAGTCACACAGTGTGACTTTGTAAATGGTCCAAGTCAGACCGAAACATCGTCGTAAGCTTCTCTCTTTTTTATGTGCGGGTTATTTGTGTATACTACTTTTGTGCTTTGCCCCCATTATTATTAATCAAAATTAAGGTTTATTTTTGGTTCATAGTAAACCATATAGACCATGGGTGGTCAATATCTGTACAGAGGTAGCAGAATCTACATCAGAAGTAAATGTACTTCTGATGTACAGTCTGTACTTAACAAGAGACATGGAAAACACACAACAAAACAAGTAAATTTTTGACGAATCCTTACTGATATTTTTATCCCAATTTTCGTGAGTGTACAGTATTTTCTGGTTGTAAATTAAAATACATATTTTGAATCAGCTGTTTTCTACCAAGGGAAGATAATAAAAAAAACACATTTACTATCATTTATTCAATAGCTGTCTTGTCAAAGGTGTGCAGAGCTCACAATTCAGATGACCTTCTGAACTACAGCATCCTCACCTCTTACAGTGTGTAGGTACTGTACTTCACACTTCCTGGTCCTTCACAGTGTAGGTACTGTACTTCACACTTCCTGGTCCTTCACAGTGTAGGTACTGTACTTCACACTTCCTGGTCCTTCACAGTGTAGGTACTGTACTTCACACTTCCTGGTCCTTCACAGTGTAGGTACTGTACTTCACACTTCCTGGTCCTTCACAGTGTAGGTACTGTACTTCACACTTTCTGGTCCTTCACAGTGTAGGTACTGTACTTCACACTTCCTGGTCCTTCACAGTGTAGGTTAGGTACGGTTCGTCAGGAAACAGGACAAATGTTTCCTGACGCGGGTCTTATCAGATGAGACCCGCCTACTTGGAGCTTCTGGTCTCTGACCGAGGCCTTCGTGGCTTCACACCCGGTCCACTTAAAATTATGGTCATTTATAACCATTTATATATTTTTTTTTTTTCTTCACAGTGTAGGTACTGTACTTCACACTTCCTGGTCCTTCACAGTGTAGGTACTGTACTTCACACTTCCTGGAGTCCTTCACAGTGTAGGTACTGTACTTCACACTTCCTGGACTCCTTCAGAGTACAGGCACTGTATTTCACACCTCCAAGACTTCAGAGTACAGGCACCATACATATAAACCTGGAGTTTACCTGCAGAAAGTTCCAGGAGTCGAATGCCCCTGTGGCCTGATCTGTGACCAGGCCTCATGGTGGATCAGGGCCTGATCAACCAGGCTGTTACTGCTGGCTGCACGCAATCCAACGTACGAACCACAGCCCAGCTGGTCAAATAATTGAGTTATTACTGATGTATACATAGTGTTGCAAAGCATATTAGACCTGTGTTGATCTTTACCTTTTATTTCTCAACATTTTATTACATATGTAATATGAAATGGGAAGTACAATGCCTGAAATGGGAAGTACAATGCCTGAAATGGAAAGTACAATGCTTGAAATGGGAAGTACAATGCTTGAAATGGGAAGTACAATGCCTGAAATGGGAAGTACAGTGCTTGAAATGGGAAGTACAATGCTTGAAATGGGAAGTACAATGCCTGAAATGGAAAGTACAATGCTTGAAATGGGAAGTACAATGCCTGAAATGGAAAGTACAATGCTTGAAATGGAAAGTACAATGCTTGAAATGGGAAGTACAATGCTTGAAATGGAAAGTACAATGCCTGAAATGGGAAGTACAATGCTTGAAATGGGAAGTACAATGCTTGAAATGGGAAGTACAATGCTTGAAATGGGAAGTACAATGCCTGAACTGAAAAGTACAATGCCTGAAATGGAAAGTACAATGTTTGAAATGGGAAGTACAATGCCTGAAATGGAAAGTACAATGCCTGAAATGGAAAGTACAATGCCTGAAGTGGGAAGTACAATGCCTGAAGTGGGAAGTACAATGCTTGCACTTTAAAGGAGGGGTTTGGGATATTGGCAATTTAGAGTGACTATCTAAACTGTCGTATCTGAGAACCTCTGCGAAGACAGTGATTATGTATGAGTGATGGTGAAAGTGTTGAATGATAATGAAAGTTTTTTTCTTTCTTTTTGGGCTTTTCTTTCTTTTGCGTCACCTGGTCACAGACTGGGCCGCAGGGGTGTTGACCCCCAGAATTATCTCCCGGTATACTCTAGGTATACTCACCCTGCCTCAGTGGGAAACGGCTGACGTGTTAAAAAAATGTAATATGAGAAATAATTAGCATTTAAATGTAATAATTTTAGAAGTTACAGTAATACCTCGGTACTCGAACTTAATTTGTTCCAGAAGGCCGTTCGAGTGCCGATCTGTTTAAGTACCAAACAACCTTTTCTCAAAAGGAATAATTTAAATTAGATTAATCTGTTTCAGACCCCCCAAAAAAACACTTACAAAATCATGTTAACACAAAGTTTACAAGTTTGAGACAAGTTTGGGACAAGTTTGAAACAAGTTTGAGTATCGAGGTACAGTGGACCCCCGGTTAACGATTTTAATCCGTGCAAGAGGGCTCATCGTTATGCGAAATAATCGTTATGCGAATGAATTTTCCCCATAAGAAATAATGGAAATAAAATTAATCCGTGCAAGACGCCCAAAAGTATGAAAAAAATTTTTTTTTACCACATGAAATGTTAATTTTAATACACACAAACTGAAAAAGGCATGCACAATTACATGACACTTACTTTTATTGAAGATCTGGTGATGATTGATGGGATGGGAGGAGGGGAGAGCATTATCTTCTTACTGTTTAGAAGGGGAATCCCCTTCCATTATGACTTGAGGTAGCAAGTCCTTTTCTGGGGTTACTTCCCTTCTTCTTTTAATGCCACTAGACCAGCTTGAGAGTCACTGGACCTCTGTCGCACAACAAATCTGTCCATAGAGCTCTGTACTCTCCGTTCCTTTACGATTTGTCTAAAATGGGCCACAACATTGTCATTGAAATAGTCACCAGCACGGCTTGCAACAGCTGTGTCAGGGTGATTTTCATCTATAAAGGTTTGCAGTTCAACCCACTGTGCACACATTTCCTTAATCTTTGAAGTAGGCACAATGGATTCCACAACTGGCATAGGCTTCTCAGGGTTAGCCCCAAACCCTTCAAAATCTTTCTTAATTTCCATACTAATTCTCACCCTTTTTACCACAGGGTTGGCACTAGAAGCTTTCTTGGGGCCCATGGTCACTTATTTTCCAGAAACAGCACCGAAAACACTGTAATAATACGAAATATTCCGAGTGTATGCTTGGATGTTACCGCGGAGGCTGGCTGGTAAACAATGGGACGGCCGGCACATGTGAGGCTGGCTGAGGGCACATTGGACGCGTCTCGGACGAAAATCGGTAAGCGGGTTTTTAATCGGTATGCGCGGCAAAAATTTTGCGATAAAAGTAATCGGTATGCGGAAAAATCGCTATGTGATGCCATCGTTATGCGGGGGTCCACTGTACTACTGTAATTAACCCTTTGAGGGTTTTCGTTGTACTAGTACGTCTTACGCGTAGGGGTTTTTGACGTACTAGTACTCATAAATTCTAGCGGCCTCAAATCTAGTGGGAGAAAGCTGGTAGGCCTTCATATGAAAGAATGGGTCTATGTGGTCAGTGTGCACAGTCTAAAAAAAAATCCTGCAGCACACAGTGCATAATGAGAAAAAAAAACTTTTACCATTTTTTTTTAATAAATCAGCGACTTTGCAGTGTATTTTCGTATGGTATTTATTGTTGTATTCTAGTTTTCTTGGTCTCATTTTATAGAATGGAAGACATATTACAGAAATTGAGATGATTTTGACTGGTTTTACAAAGAAAGGTGCCTTGAAATTGAGCTCAAAGTAGCAGAAATGTTCGATTTTTACCAAACTTCAAAAGTAAACAAATCGTGCCAAGCGTGCAATACACGTCAACTGGTGAGTCTAATATTCTTTCACAAGTGCACCAATAATATTTATACCATTTTTTACACTAATGCAGTAGTCTGCATAACAGTAAATCTTATATTTTTTGTGAAAATAAAAATTCAAAGTGGAAAGCAAAAGAATATAAGAGGGGCCTTGAGACATGACTAATGACTAGAGGAAATGTCATTTTAGTGCCAGGAATGTCTTTCTTGTTTATTCTGGACCCTATTCGGAAATTGGCATCTTTTGAAATTTGTGTGAAATTGGCAAAATTGCTAAATTCTGACCACTGTACTGGATAGTTGAGTTTCATAAATGAGTGGTTTCTTGCACCCATTCGATAGAAAAAATGGAGTTCTAGCGAAATATTCATGTTTTTTGTCGACTAGTACAGTGAAATTGGCCGAAAATGGGGCTCAAAGTAGGCAAAATCGCCGATGCGTAAACATCGCCGAGACCGCTAACTTTGCGAGAGCATAATTCCGTAAGTTTTCTATCAAATTTCAAACTTTTGGTGTCTTTATGATCGGGAAAAGATTCTCTATCTTTTCATAAGAGAAAATAATTTTTTTTTTTTTTAAGTTTGGCCGACCCTGAGAACGAGTTTCGGAGAGGGCCTGTCGACCCTCAAAGGGTTAATAATGAAATGTGTTCTTCTTTGTTTATAAATTTATACATTGAGACTCAGGTAATGTACTTGTTCTATATTTTATATAATTTGACCTTAAAATTTTGTCTTTCATGATATAAAATGTTTAATATGGAACAATTACCTGTTTAAAATAACTTATAATTTGAAGCTCATGTCACAGTATTTTTTTTAATTTTGTCCTAAATTATCTTTAACCCTTAAACTGTAAAAAAGTAGATCTACATTTACACACGTAGTGCTCCAACCTTGATTTTTCTCCATTGGAAAGCATGTAAAAAAAGTAGATCTATGTTCGGAGCGCTACGCAAGCGAACATAGATCTACACTTGGACTGTTTAAGGGTTAAATACAAGATACCAATAAATTAAAATATGAATATGAAACCTAGGTAGTAGGTTGGTAAACAGCAACCGCCCAGGGAGGTACTACCGTCCTGCCAAGTGAGTGTATAAACCTGTAATTGTTTTACATGATGGTAGGATTGCTGGTGTCTTTTGTCTGTCTCATAAACATGCAAGATTTCAGGTATGTCTTGCTACTTCTACTTACACTTAGGTCACACTACACATACATGTACAAGCATATATATACACACCCCTCTGGGTATTCTTCTATTTTCTTTCTAGTTCTTGTTCTTGTTTATTTCCTCTTATCTTCATGGGGAAGTGGGACAGAATTCTTCCTCCGTAAGCCATGTGTGTTGTAAGAGGTGACTAAAATGCCGGGAGCAAGGGGCTAGTAACCCCTTC